CTACTACTACTACTACTACTACTACTACTACTACTACGACTACGACTACGACTACGCCTACTACTATCACGGCTACTACTACTACTACTACTACTACTACTACTACTACTACTACTACTACGACTACTGCTACTACTACTACTACTACTACTACTACTTCTACTTCCACGTCTACGTCTACTCCTACTACTACTACTACTACTACTACTACTACTACTACTACTACTATCACTACTACGACTACGACTACGACTACGACGACTACTCGTATGTCTACTACGACTACTACGTCGCCCGTTCCTGTCCGCTTGCGGTGTGCTGCCTGGAAGGGTCTTCATTCCAGACGATGTGTCTCCGGCCCGCGAAGCACTAAAATACGTCCCCTCGCCCCCCTCCGCGTCCCCTCCCCTCCCCTCCCCCTCGTTCCTCCGGCTCCTTCCCCAAGCTCCCCCCCAGTTTCTTGGGCCGGGTTGGAGCGATGGAAGACTGAGCAAGCGAGAGCGCTAAACTACGTCAGAAACCGACGTCAGAAAAACTACGTCAAAACCGTCTCGGGGCCCTCGTGGGGGTCCTTCTTGAACCCTGTTGGACCCCCCGCCCCCTCTCCGTCCACCTCCCCAGGCAGCCGGCTGCTCCATTCTGTTCGGCGCGTGGGCCGCCGAGGCCCGGACCACTTCGCCAGGGCCGGCTTTTCGTCCCCAGCCGCCTTCTGACAATTCCCGAGGCCCGGCGAGGGCCCCCAGAGGCCGACCACGGCCCCTCTGGAGGTAGGAAAGGGGTGTGGCATAAAGGGGTGTGGTGCCAATCGTGGAAATCGAGATGCCACCTGCGATAGGTGGCATCGCCAGGCTCAGCCTCGGCACCACACCCCTTTATGCCACACCCCTCTCCTGCCTCCAGAAAACCCGCCCGCTCCAAGCCTTTGGCTGGAGCGTCGGACCTCTGGGGGGTGGGGGGCAGGGGGTGGGGCAAACCCTTCCCCGAGGGGGAAGAGGGAGGGGTGGAAGAGGAAACGCCCTAAACCACCGACGCCCAGAGGGCTGGTGCGTCGGACCTCTGGCTCCCCCATGGCCCCGCACACGCCCGCCAGGAGCGGCGGCGCCTCGCAGAGCGGCGGGGGCGGCGGCGGCGGCGGCGCGGGCGGCGGCGGCGGCAGGCGCCGCCGCGGTGGGAGCGCGCGGCCCCCCCGCGCCGCGGCGGGCCCCGCGGGTCTGTGGCCATCGACCCACCTCCAAAGGAGCCTCGTCCTCGTCGTCGTCGTCCTCCTCCTCCTCCTCCTCCTCCTTCTCCTCTTTCTCCTCGTGCTCCTCCTTCTGATCCTCCTCCTTTTCCCCCCCCTCCTCCTTCCCCTCAGCCTCCTCATCCTCCCTCTCCTCCTTCTCCTCCTCGCAGGCGCCGCCCCGGAGGATCGCGCCGCATCGCCGATGTGTCGGCCATGCGGCTCGATATTGGGATCTTCTTGCGCTTGGGGGCGAGAGTGACCAGGGGGCAGCGAGGGCTGCACAAAAAGAGGGCTTGGAGGGCCCCTGAAGGGGCCCAGGGCCCCAGAGGGGGGGCCTCTAGGGCCCGAAAAGGCCCCCTTTCTTCATCGTTCCTCCATCCCATTCATTGTCCCCCTATTACAGTCCACCCGCACAGAAAGGATGGGCAACCTTCCCGAGGGTACCCTTGCATCCTTGCCTCCTGGACACCTTCCCCGAAACGGGTTTCTCATCCTGAGTCGTTGTTTGACGGTCCTGGAGCCCGGCAAGGGCCCCCAGATGCCGAAAATACTGTAAAACCGCCCGTCGCGACTGCTTCACAACGCGAGGGGGTCTGAGGCAGTGTGCAACTCGCGTCCAAGACGTCGCCGATGCAGCGCCGACGCCGCGGATGCATCGGCGATGCATCGCCGCCCGCGGGGGAGGCGCAGATGGGCCTGCTTCCCACCACCACCATAAGTTGGATGGGGGGAAGGAGGACGAAGAGGAGGAGGAGGAGGAGGAGGAGGAACAGGAGGAGGAGGAGGAGGAGGAGGAGGAGGAGGAGGAGGAGGAGGAGGAGGAGGAGGAGGAGGAGGAGGAGGAGAGGAGGGGAGGAGGAGGAGGAGGAGGAGGTCCGTAGCCATTTTGGCTCAAGTCTGGAGTGTTTCGCTCAAGACTGGAGCTTTTGGCGTGGGGGAGGCGCGGCCCCCGCCCGTGATCCTGCGGCCAGTTCTGGCCTCAGCCCATTTTGTGAGCTCCTGCTGGAGCACCCTTTTCTCTTTCAACATTTCCCTCGTACGGTACCTCCCCGTGCCAGTGCGATGGGCTCTTCTCGTCGCGGCCAGCCTGGTTTGCGTGATGCGAAAGGAGACCCTCGCCAGTGGACGTGGGTGGGGAACCAGCCTAAGAGCGGAGGTGCGGAGTTGTCCAATGCTCCGTGCCCACACTGTGGATGCAAGAAGAACCTGTCGCACTACTGGTTCTGCAAGCACTGCCTCGAGCCGCTCGCGTATGTCCAGCCGTCAGCCCATCGGCCCGCAGGTGGCGCTTGGGCCCTACCTCCGCTCGGCTCGGTCCCGTCTCATGGAGAACAGTTCCAGGGGAAAGGTGGGACGTCGGCTGCGGGGCGCAAGGGAGGCAAGGCAGGCAAGGGCAAAGGAGTGGATCCCGCAGCCTGGCCCAAGCCTGCTGGCCCCCAAGGGCAAGCGGCCGCGCCCCCCACCCTGCAGCCGACCTTGCCGTCGGGGTTGCAGCTACAGGCCTCGGGGTGGGTGGGCCAAGGCGGTGGCTCAAAGGCGGACGCTTGGACAAAATACTCGAAAGACGACATCCCCAAGCTGCGCCTCATCAAGGAGAATTTCCAGAGCTTGGGAGACTCGGCTCATGCGGCTGTCTATGTTTCTTACATCGGCAGGCTGCAGAGAACGGGCCCCAGGGCGCCCATTGTCGGTGTGTGCCAGCGCGCCATGCGCGAGGCCAAGCAGCACTTGGAGAAGCGTGTACGTGTGGCCGAGAACCTCCATTGTCAGTTGGTCCAGGCTCAAAAGGCTGCTGTGCAAGCCATGCGTGAGTTCGAGGTTTGCCAGGACAAGTACCACCAGGCGGTCAAGCTCCTTGCCTCGGAGGTGCCCCAGGCGGAGCCCCCAGCAGCTCGGGCGGAGATGCCGCGTCACGGCCCCAGCCTGGAGAAGCTGCTAGATGGCGATTAATTCGAGATCTTCGAGGACGACGGCCTCTTCGGTCTGGAGGCTGAAGGTGTCGAGGTCACCGACCCCGAGAAGGAGGAGGTGGCCAAACGGAAGCAGGAGGTGGAGCAGACCATCAGGCGTGCTGTCACCGAGGCTTTCGGGGCGGTACGCGTGCGCGCACAGGAGCTGGTTGCGGAGCAGAAGGCCTTCAAGCAGCGCATGTTGTCCAAGAGACGGCGTGTGGATGAAGCTTCCAGTGCTGCCCCTTCGGGGGCCGACGCTCCGACTGCCGAAGGTGTCCCTGACGATGAAGTGCGTGAGGGGGTGGCTGCTGCCAGAGCCGCACCACCTCCGCCCCAGGTACCGTCTCAGGAGTCGGTCGCCGCAGCCGTGGATCTGGCAGGCCGTGGAGGTCTGCATTCTCCAGTCGACGGTGATGTGGGGGACTTGGCCAATGACTACGCTGCCGCGACACGCCTGGTGCATGCTGGAGTGTCGGGGCTTTAGCATGGCAACTGGCCCGACAGGCTAGGAGGCGCGTTGGTTAGAACGGCCGAGCCCGCGTGCAGGTCCACCAGCCACAAGTGGAGGACCATCGATTTCTTTGTGGTCGCCGAGCTCTCCTTGGAGTCTGCCACAAAGTGTCCAGGCACGAAGACACATGCATCAAGACACATTGGCCAGTCTTCTCACACTGTCAGGTGACCCCTTGAAGGAGAAGGTACGCATGCTCAAGCGTCCTCGTGTATTTCCTGTTGCGCTACCTGTTGGTCCACGCCCTGAGCCGCCAGACTGGTCTGACCTGGTTTTCGCTGCGGGGCGGCGTGGCGGGCAAAGCGAGCTGGACCAGGTTTTTATTAGAGCCTTCTTTCGACGTGCTGAGGACGAACTCATCGCGGCGCACTCCATAGACTCTCTGGAGGCCCCTAAGTTTCGAGGCCGTGGTCGTCAGCCTAAGTTTGCTTGGGTTCCCGCTCTGCGCAAGTCAGGAGGGGCCTATCCAGTGGGCTCGGCGAATCCATGGGCTGGAGGAAGGTTGCTAATTGGGCTCATGAACTATACCAACCATCCAAGAAGAAGCGTGGGGTGATGGCGAATCGGTTGCCATCCTCGATAAGCTATGCAAGGGGCCTGCCTGTCTGGCGGGTAGCACGGCGCGGCAATGCTCCCCCCCCCCCCCCCCCCCCCCCTCCCCCCGTTGGATGTGCTATTTTTCTTCAGCACCAAGCAGTGGCACGGCCTGTTCTGCGCGGCGACCAAGCTCGCGACCAAGCACGAGCTCGCCGCCAAGTCGGACCGAGGGGCAAAATGGAGGACCTGGGTCGCCGAAGCTGTCTCGGATGGGGCTGGTAAGGCCCACAAGTATTCGAAGCCCTCCATCGGTTGGATCCCCTCCACCAGCCTCCAGGGAGCCCCACCCCCTGGGCCCCAGCAGCAGGTGGACGAGCTCTTGGGGGCTCGGAAGGGAGTTTGGAAGCCGTCACCTAAGTCGGAGGCCACGCCAGAGCCTGTGGCCTACTGCACATCCCTCTTGCAGCAGCAGGCCAGCGAGGAGGGGGGTTCCATTGAGGATCTGCGCCCACCTGTCCGCGACCCTGAAGTCATCAGGAGAGTGGCTTCTAAGTTCAAGAGGTTCACGGCCCTAGGAATCGACACGCTGCACCCCAGGGAGCTGGCAAATCTACCGGACGGGGCCCTCAAGTGCCTCGCCCTGCTCTGGCACTGGCAGGAGTGATCGGGCATCTTCAGCTCTGCCGTCGCTCTCATCCTGTTGGCGCAGCTTCCTAAGCCTGAAGGAGGTTATCGACCTATCGGCATCGAGAGTGGGGCCAGCAGGGTTTTCCACAAGATGGCTAGGCACGAAGCCGTGGAGTGGGGGGATCGCCATCCTAGGTCATACCACTACGGTGTCAAGAGGAAGTCTTGCGAGAGGGCCGTCTGGGAGCAGAGCCTCGCTGTTGAGAACCACGGCCTCATGGGGTTCACCACGGGGCTTACTTTGCTAGACCTCACCAAGGCGTATGAAAAAAAGTGGTTCGCTCCCTGCTCGTCCAAGCCGCGGTTGCCTGGCATTTTCCGATTTTCAGGCCCAGGCTTCTCATCGCGAAGTACAGAGGACCTCGGGTCCTCAGTTTGTCTGGCGTCTGCTCGGACGTGGTGCACTCGTCGCAGACCATCTTGGCAGGGTGCCCGTTCGCCACGACGCTGCTCAGGCTGTTTTTGCTGTCTCCCCTGGATAAAGTGTGCGAGCATTTCCCGCCCGCCGCCCCCTTCAATGTGGTCGACGACATTGCGCTTTTCATGGGAGGGGCTGCCAAGGTGGCCCAGACTCGCCTTGGGAATGCTACGGCCTACTTATGTGGGCTGCTGGAGGGCCAACTGCTGGTTATCTCGGAGTCGAAAGGCAAGGTTTTGCCCTCGTGTTCATCGGCGGCCCGTGGGCTGGCCAAGCGTCTGAGCAAATGGGAGTTCACTGCCCCTGCGGCCACCAGGAATCTGGGATGCGACTTTGGGATGGGGCCCAAGGGTCGCAGGTCCAGGCCCGTCGTCGGGTCCCGTTGTCGCAAGATCAAGGGCCGTCTCTCCAAGTTTCGCAGCCTCCGCAGCTCTTTCCAGGGGCTCATGAAGGTCATCAGAGGAGGGGCGCTCCCGCAGGGCATGTGCGGGGCCGTGGTCAAAGGTCTGGACGATAGGCGTGTTCGTTCTCTGAGATCTGCCCTGGCCTCGGCAACTTTCGGCGCTGCTCGAGGTCGAAGCCGCGCACTGGAGTTTATGATGTCCTCTGTCCCAGAGGCCGATCCCGAAGTTGATGCTAATCGTCTCCCTCTTCTTGCATGGTCGCGTGACGCCAGAGAAGGCTGGGTGGACGCGACCACGCTGCGCCGCTGTTTTGAGGCGGCGGAGCGCTGCCCCAGTCTGGCGTGGTCGGACGTGCGTGGCCCAGGCTCGGCAGTAGTACTTACGTTCAGGAGGTTGGGGTGGTACTCTGAGTCTTGGAGGCTTTGGAAGACCCGTTCTGGCATTTCGATTGATGTGGGCAGTTTTGGGAAACGATCCCTGCACAAGCTGATCACTCAGGATACTCATGACCTTCTTCGGAGCCGTGTGGGTTTGAAGATGTTTGGGTCTCCTGGGCCCCCCTTGCGGCTCCCATCGCTAAGCTGCGCAGGCAATGCCGCAACGAGGTTAGCAAGCAGAGTAAGAAGACGGCATGGTTACTGTCTGACTTGGCTGCAGGTGGCTTTCCTACGCAAGCAGTGCTGCACGAAGATCGCAGGGTTGTGGATGTCAGGTGCCAGGTTTGCTTCGACGAGCCTGGGACACAGATGCACCGTCTCTTCAGATGCCCTGCGCACTGTGGGCTCAGACGGCACCTTCACTTGCAGGAGCTTCAAGAGAGAGCTGCGGAGCCAGGCGCTGATCTACTTTTTCTCACGCGTGGACTGGCCGTGCCCCCCAGAGGCAAAGTGGCCACCGCCAGTCCAGCACGAGCATGTGAAGTGGGACAAGGTTTCCACCACAGGCTACATGAGCCACCGCATCTGTCTGGACGGGTCTGCGCTGGATCCCGACCTCCCCTTCTGCAGGGCGGGGTGGGCGGGCGCGTGCATGGACCCCCAGGTCGCGGTGGTCGCGCCGTCCAAGCATGGCCCGCTTCCCCACCCTGTGCAGGAGGCGGGATGCGGCGAGGCGTATGCTTTTCTCATGGCCTTGAGATCGCTCGAGGTCGGTGTCGTGGAAATCGCCTCGGACTGCCAGCTTGTCGTCGATGTCTGGGCCAAGGGGCCCGATCAGGACTTTGATCGTTTGGCTTACTCTGAATTATGGGTTCATATCTTCCAGATTGCTCAGGACTATGGGATTGAAAAATATTACCCTCCGCAAGGTCCGCTCGCATTTGTCCCTCAACAAGGCTCTTTAGGTGGGCATGCCCATCTGGGCGCGGAAGGGGAACAATGAGGCCGATCGACTTGCGGGGGAGGGGGCCGAACTGCACCCGTCCAACCCCAGGGCCAAAGCTGAGTATGAGAGCCTCTCTGAGCAGGTTAGGCAGATAGGGATTTTCCAAGGGGCGATCCTGTTTGCTCTCTCGGAGGGGGGTTTTCCTGATGTTGCTAAGTGTAAAGTTGGGGGCCGTTGAAGACCGACTCGATTGGAGTTGGTGGCGGACCCCAACGGGCATGAGGTTTGCAGGTCGGGGCAGAAACTCCAGAGGTTTTTCTGCCCGAGATGCGGGGGCAGGTCTCACTCCAGGACTGGGCTCTGTTTGACCCCGTGTACAGGCCTCCCCAGGCTAGCTCGTAGTGCCCACAGTACCCATAAGCTGTGGATGGGGGGTGGGGGGATCGTCTGGTGCTCGAGGCGCGCTGCCTTTGGCGCCGAGAGGTCCCGCCTCCTGCACGCGCAGCGCCACGGAGCACCGCGCAACAAGGGGGCCCAGCAAAGCCTCTCGGACTTCAGGAAGGGTAAGGACCCGTCCGATGGGAGGTCTTTCGGGAGGAGCTGGCCCATCCCCGCGGAGCTGTTCAAGGAGGCGGGTTAATGTTGCCGCCTTCTCTTTCCGTCGTCTCGTCGTTGTCAGCGTGCTGTGTAGCCTCAGGGAGCTGGACAGTTGCGCCACAGGATCACAGGATCACAGGAGGAGGAGGAGGAGGAGGAGGAGGAGGAGGAGGAGGAGGACCCCCTCCCCCTCCAACTGATGGTGGTGGCGGTGGTGGAAGCCGGGCGCATCCGGCGCGGCCCCCCCCCCAGGCGCCGCGTGCCCAGCCCCCCCTTCGTCGCAGCAGGAGCAGCTCACGACGCGGGCGGTGCCTCGCGCTCTCCGGCCTCGGAGGGCCCGTCTCGGGCCGCGGGGCCCGCTCCTCTGGCCGCCTCGGTGCCCCCCTCGTCGACCCCTCCTTCGCCTCGCCCTTCCTCGTCGCCCCCTCCTCCTTCGCCTCTCCCCCCCTCGTCTTCCTCGTCCCTTTCCACGGGCCCCAGACCGCCAGCCCCGAATCCCCCGTTCTCGACAAACTGGTCCCGGGTCAAGAAAAATCGCCACGGGAGGTGTTTCCCTATGTTCAGCCTCTGGGGGCCCTCAGCGGGCCTCGTCAGAGAACGGCTCGGCATGAGATGCCAGCCCTGGGGCGTTGGGCCGAGACCTCGGGGGGCCGACGCGATGAGAGAAGTCATGGCCTCGGGCGTCTGCCTTGGCATCGCTCGGACTTGTGCATTTTTCCTTCGGCGAGGACAATCGAGGAGCATCCTTGATCATTTGGCGAAAAAACCACGCACGAAACCGAAAAAAACACAGGGAATGGACGTCCGAGCGATGGCGAGCTGGGCATCGGGCCTCGCGGGCCTGTGGTCATCGGCCTTCCTCCAGGAGGGGGCCGGCCCAGACGTCCTCCGATCTGTGATGGGTGCCATCCGCGGCCCCAGGGCTCCCGACCCCTTCCCGCAGGGTCGCTCTTCGCTCCCGCTCCAGATCTGATCGTCCCAGGGCCCGGGGGGGGCCCCAGGAGGCCGAGCTCCAGGAAATCCGCCCGCATTAAGTCGGGGGTGGACAGACCTCCTACCCTGACACGTCGATTAGCGAATTGGCCGTTTTCGGTTTGCGCGAGGGCGTCGCGGCCGTCATTTTTGCGGGTCCAGGTCCGTCGGTTTCGGTCCCAGGCCGTTTTCACTAAGGGGAGGTTTACTAAAGGGAGGTTTGTCCACCGCCGATTAAGGAAAACGCACATCGTCTGAGATCTGGGGGGGAGGCAAGGGCAAGCAGTTCGCAGGAGCGAGCAGCACGATGTCAAAATCGAGCAGCCCACATGGCCGGCCTGCTGCCACATGCACGCTCTCAAAGGATACCACAGGCGGAGCGCCCAGCCAGCTGCTCTGGACTGGCAGCGCGGCACCACATTGAGGAGGAGGAGGAGGAGGAGGAGGAGGAGGAGGAGAAGGGCGAAACACAAGGCGAGCAGACGCGAACAAACAAGAAAAGAGGGGGACGGCAAAAGGCAGCAGCAAACAAGCACGTTGGGGGCGGGGGGGGGGGGAAGGGACGAAGGTCGGCGGCGGCGGTCGGGGGGTCGTCGTGGGTCGTCGCGGGAGTGGGGGTCGTCGTGAGTCGTCGGGGGGCGGGTGGTCATCGCTGGCTGGGGGGGGGGATGGGGTTGGTCAGGGGCGGAGGGCGGCATGAAGCAGCGCGGCGGCCGCTCACGCGGCGTCCGCGGCCAGCCTGGCCGCGGCGTGGCGCCTGCAGACGGCGGAGCACGGCCCGCGCATTCTCCTTGTGTCACGAAAGAGTGGCGAGAGTCGATGGGCGTGCTCCGCCGCCGCTTGCGCAGGGTCTTCCACAGTGGCGTCCGCCGCGCGCTTCGTCAGGGCGGCCAACGAGCGGCACGCCTCCTTCCCCCATGCGCCACCGTGCGCCTCCATCACCATCGGAATGAAGGTGATGCCTGCCGCGCGGCAGCTGCGCGCCGTGTCGAGAAACTGGCACTTTTGCTCCTCGTTTTGCTCGGCGGCGGCGCCGGGCGCGGCAGCCCTGGTGGCGAGGCTGGCGCGCTCCCAGAATTCGGCGTTGGCGGCCTCGTCTAGTTTGTCTGAGAGGGCCCCCTGGTCGCCGTGCCGCCCACCGTCGAACGCGATCCTCCCCGCCTGCGGCAGCTGGGCGTTATAGGACGCCACGGCAGCGCCCAAAGCGCCGTCGGCGCCAGTGTCGTCGCCGGAGTAGCCAGCACAAAGCTGCCGGCAGAGCGCAGAGCAGGCCGCGCGGGAAGCTAGGTAGGCGGCGGGTGCGTGGCGCCCCGCTGAGCGCAGCCCCAGGCTGCCTGCCTAGAGGGCGAGCTGCGCTTGAGCCCAGGAGTCGTCCGTCGGGGAGCTGCTGCTTAGCTGCTTCAGGCAACACGGGGGTGGGGGAGGACGGCTGGATTTCTGGACTGCGCATCCGGTGCAGCCGCTGGCTGGTCAGGTGACAGGTCGGCACGCAACGCAGCGCACCACGACACGGCAGGGACGGACGCCCTGAATCTGCATCGGCTCGGGCGCCAACGTCGTCGTTTTCTTATGCATGGTTTTGCCGATCGGCGCGAGCCCGCGCATTGTAATGCTCCAACCTACGGTAGCCCTGATCGCCAGGAAGAATTCGAACACCACGAAAGTACCGAAATGGGAGGCTTCACGTGTCGGACCCTGGGAGGTAATAGTCGTTCGGCTCTGTTTCGATACTTTTCTCTGTGTTCGGAATGTGTATGGGATGTGGTCCTCAAGTACGATGGGGGCAACCTAACCCGCGCACCCCCTTCCCCCCCATTGAGTAGGTCTTGGCCGTTGTTGGCGCCATTTTTTTCAGGCAGGTGGAGTCTCTCCCACACGACGCACTGTTGCAAACAGTGGCCTTCAGCAGAGGTCTGGAGCATGACCCCCCCATCCCCCCCGTCCGCCCACTGTCGAAACGCAGAATAAGAAAACGTTCGCAAGGTGGCGGGCAGACTTTGTTGCCAGTCGCATTTAAAGGCAGAAACTGCAGCGCATACAGTGGAGACCCATGCCGAACAAAAACAGCATGCTTGCCTCCAGGGTGCCCCTGGTGTCTTGGGTTTCGATGGTTTTGCTATGGGGAGCGTGGCGTGGCGTTCCCACACCAAAAATCCATGGGCGTCCTGAGGTCTCAGGGTTGGGTTTCTTGTGGAAGGTTTCTCGTGGTCGAGCTCCTACTGCGCCTGAGGCGGGAAGACATCTCCGGCCTCCAGACCGGCACGAGAACGAGACGGCGGAGGGAACGGCCCCGATCTCCGCCCTGAGACTCGGGAGAGGAGGTGCTGCAGCACCATCTCTCTCCTGCCAGCGAGAGCATCTTGCCTCCACCGAGCGGCGCCAGCCCAGTCCGAGCATGCATACGTCCGGCATCCCTGGCCAGGACGAGTGAGATCGTCTCGTTTCGCCGGCACGGGCGACAGACGGCGGAGGACAGCACCATCGGCCGTGTGTGCGCCGAGCAGCCATCAGCATCTCATGCAGCGCCGGGCGGAGGCACGCGGGCGGAGGGGCGCAAACCTGCGGGTGCGGCCTCGCAGGTCTCTCGAGCAGACGGGGGGCCTCGCACGTGTGAAGGAGGAGCAGCAGGAGGCGGAGGTGGGAGACCAGGAGGAAGCAGGAGAGGGACGAGGAGGGGCGCACGTGGCTCAGGAGGGCAAGGAGGATGATGGGTAGGAGTAGGTCGGGCATGTCCTCCGACAGGCGGAGTTGGAAAGACAAATAGAACGTTGTCAAAACATATTCAAGGATAGACAACATAGCACGACACATCGTCACCAGAATACGTGTACATAGTCTTGATTATTCCTCCATGTACAAGGCCATGCCTTACTTGAGAGACGGAGGAGGAGGAAGAGGAGGAGGAGGAGGAGGAGGAGGAGGAGAAAGAGGAACAGGAGGCGCAGCCGCATGAACGAGGCAGGAGAGGAGGAGGATGAGGATGAGGAGGCGGAGGAGGCGGAGGAGGAGACGCACACGTGGTTGAGGAGGAGGAGGATATTTTGCTGTGGATCGCTGCCAGCCGAGCTGCCGAAGAGATTGCCGAGCAGGTGAGACAGATATGAACTAGGCGTCGATGAAAGCATCGACGGTGCTCCCCAAACCCAGGCATTTCGCATTAAGGATTAAGGAGTTCACTTTGCCTCAACCTCCCCAACGTTCCACAGTCATATGCTGTGGGCACCAGGCCATAGCAAGGCGACTTGGCACTCCATGCGCAAATCGTGAGGCGTAGATTCAGCCCAGCATCCGCACATCCCACAGAAGGTGGAGCGGCCTTTGCTCCAGGCGGCGTGGCTGTCATGCACCCCGTGCCCGTGGACGCAGGCTGGGGGAGGCAATCGCCGAGGGGTGGGGAAACCAAAAGGTACCGATGCCGCTGCTCCCTGGACCTCTCCCGGGGCGCGTTCCGACCAGCATTTCGAGGCGAACCCAGCGGTGGCGACGAGGGCCTGCCAGGAGGCCCTAAGAGGGGAAAACGGGCGAAGGGTGGCGGCTTGGGTACCTTTCCCTCCTCTGAGACGTAGGCTGGGGGAGGCAGTCGACCCCACTGCCACGCCTAGGCCGACAGGGCCACCTGAGGCGGACGAGGAGCAGGAATACTCGGATGCCCAATCTTTCTTGGGCGAGCCACAGCGTGGAAGCCCAGGCTCGACACCCACCGCCCCCGCCTTTTTCCCCACAGCCTGTGCAGCTGTCAGATGAGCTCAGGGCTCGACTTGCCGATCACCGCAAGCAGGCACGTGCGCGCAGGAGGGCCAAGGCAGCTTGAGTACTCATCGCCGTTGCGCCGTGGTCTCCAGATGCATCGTTCGGACAGGGTATGTTCGACAGAGCAAGCTGGCGAGTCGGCAGTTAACTGCTGTGAAAGGCTCGCGTTTCCCAACTTCCTGCTGTGCCACCGCCGCTTCACCCACTCCACCTCTGTCTTGCTGCTTCGCCGATGTTGACGGATCGACACGGACACGTACAGGTTCCAAGGACCCGCCAGCTTCCTGTCCAATCAGACGCATGCCTCTCTATTGTTCGAAAGCCAGGGGCCCACCTAAGCCTAGCCGGGGCGAACGGTGAACCCGCAAGCGCACCACACGAGCGAGGCCCCACCTGTGCCATACCGAGCTACCCCCCTTGCCAGGTTCAGCCGCTGTACCGCAGCTGCCGAAGAACGACGAAGAAGGACGACGACGACGACGACGACGAAGACGACGACGGTGGCGGCGGTGGCGGCGGCGGCGGCGGCAGCGGCGGCGGCTACGATGTCGTAGCGCCTCGAGAGCGCCCGGCAGTTTCGTGGCGTTCGCCGGCTCGGGCAACAGGCTGGGACACGGCGACGGCGGCAGGAGCGCTCCTTTGCGGGGGGGGTGCCCAGCCTGCCTTCGGAACCCCCGGGAGTTGCAAGCCATCCGCCCGAAGGTTGCGGGGCTCAGCGCAAACTGGGCGCAGCCAGTGCGATAGACCCAGGAGGAGGAGGAGGAGGAGGAGGAGGAGGAGGAGGAGGAGGAGGAGGAGGAGTGGGAGGAGGAGTGAGGAGGAGGAGTGAGGAGTGAGGAGGAGTGAGGAGGAGTGAGGAGGAGGAGGAGGAGGGAGGAGGAGAGGAGGAGGAGGAGGAGGAGATCCGACGCTCCGACAAAAATGGAGCGGCCGGTATGCGGCCGTTTTCGGCCTTTATCGGGTGCCCCCGCTGGGCCTCTGGACCGTTCCAAAACGATTCGGGGCGAAAAATATGGGCCGCGTGGGAGTGGTCCAGACCTCCCCCTCCTCCTCCTCCTACTCCTCCTCCCCTCCTCCTCTCCTCCTCCTCCTCCTCCTCCTCCTCCTCCTCCTCCTCCTCCTCCTCCTTCCTCCTCCTCCTCCTCCTCCTCCTCCTCCTCCTCCTCCTCTCCTCCTCCTCCTCCTCCTCCTCCTCCTCCTCCTCCTCCTCCTCCTCCTCCTCCTCCTCCGTCCCAGGAGGAGGAGGAGGAGGAGGAGGAGGAGGAGGAGGAGGAGGAGGAGGAGGAGGTGGTCCAGACCTCCAGGGGCAACGCAGCAAAACATGAGAGTTGCCAGATGTCTGGGCCAGCCCGAGCGATGGATCATGCAGGATTCTGAAAGGGCAGGTCTGGACCAAGCCGGTTTGTTGAAGCCGCTCGCGGCCCTGGAGGTGGCCTCGCATCTTGGCGCTGAGCCGGGTTTGGGGAGCCCCCCCCCAAAAAAATGCAGTGCAGGTTCTAAATGAGTTGGTGGGGATCAGAGTTGGCATGCGGTAGCTTTGTGGGAGAGATCCCTCGGGAGGGGGGGAGGGGAGAGGGGAGGAGGCCAAAGAAGGAGGGGATGAGCGGAGGAAAAAATACCGATACCTCCGCTCATGATAGAGAGCCCTCGTCGCAACGGCAGGATTTTTTCATCGAGTTCCTAGGCAGACTGCACCCTGGGAGAGGGGGTGATGAGGACAAGGAATGAGGAAGGAGGGGGGGAGGAGGAGCGGAGGAAGGGAGGGGGTGATGAGGACAAGGAATGAGGAAGGATCGAGGCTCGAGGATCGAGGCTTTTCCCTTCCGCCTCCCGCCAGGGCCCACCTCGATGCGATCGATCCTGCTCGATCTATCGATTCCGGGCGGCCCGATCCACACGGGCTCCGAGGTTTCGAAGATCCGATGTAGGCCGAGATTCGCATGGCGCCGTTGAGCATCCTGGCGCCGCCGGTCCGATCCTGTGCCGTCTCAGCGCCGGGGCGGCCCGGGCTTCGATCCGACGCTTTATTCATGCTGATGCCAGCTGGTCCTACCACTTCCCTCCTCCTTGGCTCCCCCCCTCCTCCTCTTCCTCCTCCTCCTCCCCCTCCCCCTCCTCCACCTTCCCCTCCTCCTCCTCATCCTCCTCCTCCACCCCCTCCCCCCAATCCTAATGTTCGGCTCGACGCTCCCTCGTCCGTCCGACAGAGCCCGGGGGCGGGAAATAAGCCGGCGTGCAGCACGCAGCCGTTCGTGGAGATGCGGGAGGCGCCCGAGGAGGCTGGGCCTCGGCCTAGGGCTTGGGAGGAATTCCGCGCTGCGCTTCTACTGGCCCAGGGCCCCTCGCGCTGCGAGAAAAAAATCACGGCGGGGGGGGGGGAGGGGGGCTATTTTCGGCGTCGGGGAGCCCTTCCCGGGCCCCAGGGCCAGCAAAAAGACTACGCAGGAGGAGGAGCAGGCCCCACAGGGAAGGGGTCCCCGGCCTCTGGGGGTCGACGCTGGCGAAAAGGTCACGGCGTCGGGGGTCTGGGGGCCTCCTTCGCCCCCCCCCCCGGGGGGGGGAAGGCGGGGCCGCACGCCCCCCGCACCCCCCAGGGGGGAAGGCAAAAAACAGGCAGGTGGGCAGCTGGCCCGTTGCAGGTGACGAGCTTCGATCGCACGGCCGCCGTAGAGGTTAGTGAGCAGTCCCCGCCCGCACCCCAACTGAGCGGCGCAAAAAAAAAGACGGAGTCGTTGGCGCCAGCGTTGGCGCGCAAGTGGCCCGCGCAAGGTCGCGCGTGAGCGCCCTCGCTTCACATGCGGCGTGCCGCCCGGGCGGCCCGCGTAAGCTGCGGCGTGAGGTCGCTGTGCCATCGCGCGCAAGACCCGTTTTTGACCGTCGCTCAGTGATTTTTGCCCCCCCCCCCCCCCGCTTCCCCCGTTCCGCGCTCTGCCCGACCTCGCTCGCCTTCCTTCCCCCCAGGGGGCGGGGGCGGCTCGCTACCACCGGATACAATATTGTACTGCGTTTGACGCCCCCCCCCCGCCCGGGTCCGCCGAGGAGAAGCACGGGCGATTCACGACCTGCTGCGGTTCGTCGCGCGCGCCCCCGAACTCAGACCCCCGCGAGTCACGAGAAAGCCATGACGGGAGGTTTGTTTCCAAGTGTTTTGCCTTTCAGGGCCGTCAACAAGAACGGCACAGGATGAAAAACCGGCCCCGGGGAACGGGTCGAGACCTCTGGGGGTCGCAGCCATGACAAAATCATGACGTCGGGGGTCTGGGAACGGAGTTTCGAGCAAGCGCTTCGGCGTTCTAGCTGGCTGCGTCATGGATCTGCGTGAGAACAGGGTCCGCGCGTCCTTGCGTTTTTGGTGAGGTTTTTGCGAGCAGTTCCGATGAGGAGCTTCTCGCACGCCCCGGCGCGGTTTGCTAACAGCTTTTGGGTGGGCGGGCTGGATGTTTGCTCGAGCACGGGAGGAGGCTAACGTGTTGATGCGGACATGTCACCGCCTGGGGCCTGGATTGGCCCCCCCAGAGTGTGGCACTGCACATATGGTGTGGCCCCCCCAGAGCGTGGAGCCCACGCGTCGACATGATATGATACAGTAGAGACCCGTGCCAAGACACATCCTGGTTGCCTCTAGGGTGCCCTGGCTTTCGTGGGTTTCGATGCTTTTGCGATGGAGAGCGCGACGCTCCCACACCAAAAATCAATGGACATGATGGGGTCTCAGGGTTGGGCTTCTTTTGGAAGGTTTCTTGTGGTCGGGCCCCTGCTGTACAGTGCCGTTTTTAATACATGCTCAGCGTGCGGATCATGCAGTACAAATGCAGGGATTTTGTATTTAAAACAACGATGGGTCCATGCGTAAATTGATTCATGAATTAATCACGTATTTAACATCCGATATTTAAAACAAATCCCATGTATTAAAAACTGCCCTGTGTGAAGCCTTGCCGCTGGAGGCCCCCGCCGCGCAGACCCAGCAGCACGCGGCGCCGGCACCGCTGCCCACCGTGAGCGACGGCGTGTAGCGCCGGGGGGCAGCCGCTGGCGGGCGCCTCGGCGAGCAGCGCGACGGGGCCTCTCCACTAGGCACTAGGGGAACAAAAAGTGGCATAAACATAAAAACTCGGAGGTCCGCGGGTATTTCTCGGATCGGCGCTGGGGCCCCCCGGCGGCGCCTCCGGCGCCGCCCCTGGCGCGCTCCGCGCGCCAGGGAGGGGGCCCCAGCGCCGATCCGAGAAATCCGCGCGGACCTCCGAGTTTTTTTATGTCTATGTCAGTTTTTGTTCCCCTATCTCCACACCCGAGGGCGGCCAGCGCTGAGAGCACAGCTCGTGCAAGCCACCTGACTCGGGCCGGACGCAAGGGGGGGATTGGGAAGGGGGGGGTACGAAATCTGTTGCTTGCAGCTGGTTTCGGCCCCACATGGCCGCCTCTGGCGCCGGGAAAATCAGCTACGTGAGCTGATTCTCAAACCCCCCCTTTGCTATCCCCCCCCCCTTTCGCCCGGCCCGACACACCCGAGGGCGGCCAGCGCTGAGAGCACAGCTCGTGCAAGCCGCCCGACGGGAGGCCCCAGGTTTGCCGCGCCTCGTCGAGGGAGGCGCACGTGGTCCAGGTCGTCGGTGGGCGTCGTCCGGGGGAGCGCGGCTCGAGCACGCCGGCAGCGCCAGAGCAGATCCTGCAGGAGCGCGTGATGGAGGGGCCCATGAGATTACGCTGCGCGTTCGACTGGAGGGGTGTCCTGTGGAGGCAGTTGGTGAACGTCAGTTGATGGGGCCCTGCTCGTGGGAGTTCCCTGCCCGTGATCGTGAGAGTAGCGTGGCGCCCAGCGAGGCGTGGGCACGGCTTGTGGATGCCAGGCGTAGTGGCGAGGGTCGGATAGGTGTTCAGAGTTCAGAAGCGAGAGGCGGGGTGCGGGCACTGGCGTGTGTTAGCAAGACAGGGGAGGAAAGGGTACAGAAACGAAACCACTCAGACAACTACAGCTCGGTGAAGAGGAGGTGGGCGGCAAGATCTGCTTGCGAATGCAATCGAGGTAAAAGGGCCCGTCTTCATTCAGTGTTGTCGCTACCCAGTGCTTGAGCGCAACCTGCGCGCACAGATAAAGTTTTCTGCTGTGCAGATCGTCGCGTGATGTACGGCGCCGAGTGATCACACATGGTCGCTCGACCCCTACGAGATGCGCGCCAGCCATGTAGGGAGGTCGATCGATTTGCTTCGTCAGAAATGCGGCCTCTCTCACTTGCTCGCAGCAGGCACTTGAGTGGCCTTCGCGCAGGATCCTTCGGGCTCGGCGCGCATCTGGCCCAGACAACGATTACATGAATAGCTTGTGGTCGGAGTGTGTCTGTTGCGACCTTGTCTGCTTGTACACAGTCCGGCTTCGATTGATCCACAACGGTTGTTTAGAATGTAATTCCTAGGAGGTTGAATTCAGCATTGGCCCTGGTATATCCGCGGTCGAGCACTAACCACTTCTGGCCTAATCGCGCATAATCCCGCCGAGTCGTTTACCCCGTCTTAATCGGGCTGAATCCAGAATTAATCTGAGCTGGTTTGGCCCATTGCGTTTGTTTTTATCGAGCTCAATACTTCTGAGTCGCGCTTAACGAAGACCTCCCAGGAGTTGACTCCGAAGGATTCTGTGCGCTTGATCATTTCTTATTGCGTGCGAGTCCGCATCTTGCATCATCAATGACAAACCACGGCTGAGTGAAACGGCGACAGCGAGCACTGCGATTGTGCGGATGCGTTACCGTCATCAGGGGTGCTACTGCCATCTTCTTCTCCGCAGCAGCCCGTCCCTCCACCCCCCCAGCTTTTCGGGCCCTGCCCTGCCATTCCCCACTCCCTCTCTTCTTCTCTGCCTCCCGCCATCCTTCCGGCCATCCCTCCATCCGTCCTTGCCCAGCCCCCCCCCTACGCCCTCTCCCCGCTCCCTGCCCCCTCCCACCTCCTCCCCTGCCCTCCCCCTTACCCACCCTTCCCATCCTTTCCTCCCCTCCTTCCGCCCCCACGCTTCCATGGCCTCCCCTGGCCCACTTCATCCACTTTCCTCCTTCCCGTCTTTCCCCTCCTCCCTCTTGCGCCCACTCCTATTCTTCGTATGTCTGACTTTGCTGCCCATCCTCTTCCTCCTTCTCCTCCTCCTCCTCCTCCTGATCCGTCTGCTCCTCATTACCCGTCATAAAAGTAGCGCCTGGGCGTGCTGGCCCATCGGCAGGCATATGCACGTATACTATGGAGGATGCCAGCCCAACTTCGAGCCAGTTTCGTTTTTCCATGTGTCACCTTCCCAATTCCCCTCCCAGAGGGGGGCCACTGTTGTTAATCTCTGTCCGCGACGCGTGGCCGATAAGAGAGCGTACCCAAGATCACCTGAACATCTGTCCAAAAGCCCCCACCTTTTGGAAACGCAGGAATACTGTGTTTAGTTATCAGGTGTATCCCGCACTTTCTGCTACACCAGCCTTGCCTCTTATGTGGGATCTGGACGCGTGCTTCACATCCGTACTCGATTAACAAATCCTCTGATGCGCCCGTTGTGCACCAAGGTCCAGCTGCACCAATCGCACGTCACAAAGACCAGGGTGAACACACACCCTGGCTTGCGAGATCCTAAACACCAGGGCGTGGCTCTTTCCCGGCGAAGAACATCTATGGTGTAGACTATTTGCCTCGCCCTCAGTCCGTGAAGCCCTGCAAGTTTGAAAACGAATGTGTTCGGCGCTACGGCGAGAGCCACATGTTGAAAACCACTTGCCCTCAATGCGTGACGCTCTTGCACATGTTTGGAAGGAATGTGCGCGGCGCTAAGGCGAGAGCCACATGTTCGCCAGTGTTTAAACCTCAGTCGCATAAGTGGTAAGGCAGACTCAGGCGAAACCCTGGCCCGCCCTTCGGATTGGCCCTGGGGTGCGACAGGGAGGAGTGACCTGTTCATAAGGAAGAGGAACGGAGCAGGAGAAGAGGAGGAAGAGGAGGAGGAGGAGGGGGAGGAGGAGAAGAGGAGGAGAAGAGGAGGGGGAGAGGAGGGGGAGGAGGACGAGGAGGAGGATGAGGAGGAAGAGGAGGAGGAGGAGGAGGAGGAGGAGGAGCACATCCTGACTTTCAGCTCCCGCCGCCCTTCTGCCAGTGTCCCATGGCCCTCGGGCCCGCCACGGCCAGCGCTGCGTGTGACCCGTGCAAGCCGACGGGTGGCCCGCGACCGTTCCGTTTGGTAGCAAATCATGGGAGCCTTGTGTACCCTCGCAATTATGTCGTTCGCGTCGATTGGCGCCCCTGGGAGTCGATGAGACAGCGCCGATCTCGCGCCAGCTGGCGTCGATTGGGCCCGGATTCAGCGCCGAGGTAGCGTCGATTTGGCGTCGACGCAGGGTCGATTCGCAAGAGCCGACGGGATGGTGGTGGGAGGCCCCCGTGAGCTGCCGGCCGAAGCTCCGCGCCCGGCCGTGCCTTCCCCGGGGGCGGCCGTGGCTCTCACCAATGCTGGGGGCCCTTCGCGCCGCGTCTGGCGCCTCGCTCTCTCGCTCCCTCTCTCGCTTGCCGCGCGCTGCCGCCTCGGCAGGCTCGGCGGCACGCAAGAGTGGCCCTGCGCCAGAGCGACCTTCCCAGACCTCTTCCTCCTCCTCCTCCTCCTCCTCCTCCCTCCTCCTCCTCCTCCTCCTTCCTCCTCCTCCTCCTCCTCCTCCTCCTCCTCCCTCCTCCTCCTCCTCCTCCTCCTTCCTCCTCCTCCCTCCTCCTCCTCCTCCTCCTCCTCCTCCTCCTCCCTCCTCCCTCCTCCTCCTCCTCCTCCTCCTCCTCCTCCTCCTCTCCTCCTCCTCCTCCCCTCCTCCTCCCCTCCTCCTCCTCCGCCTCCGCCTCCGCCTCCGCCTCCTCCTCCTTCAATCTCCTCCTCCTCCTCCTCCTCCTCCTCTCCTCCTCCTCCTCCTCCTCCTCCCTCTCTCCTCCTCCCTCCTCCTCCTCCTCCTCCTCCTCGTCCTCGTCCTCGTCCTCGCCTCCTCCTCTCCTCCTCCTCCTCCTCCTCCTCCTCCTCCTCTCCTCCTCCTCCTCTCGTCCTCGTCCCTCCTCATCCCTCCATCCTCCTCCTCCTCCTCCTCCTCCTCCTCCTCCTCCTCCTCCTCCTCCTCCTCCTCCTCCTTCCCCCGTACTCTTACGCGACCTCGCGTCGCGAAAAAAGCACGACGCGAGGGTTGTCGCTATTGTCGGGCAACAAAAACGACGCAGAAGGAGAAGCCGGTCCCGGGGAAGGGGTCCAGACCTCTGGGGGAGGGGGGGGCGACGTTGGGAAGAGACCACGACGTCGGGGGCCTGGGAAGAGTGATCTTTCGCCGGGTCGGCCTTCAGGGGCCCTTGCAGTGCCTCGGGACCGTCCAAGAGCAGCTCAGGATGAGAAGCCGGTCCATGGGGAAGGGGTCCAGGCCTCTGGGGGTCGACGTCGTGAAACAAACACGACGTCGGCCCAGGCATCTGGCTGGACCAACTGTTGCGATGCGTGGGCCCCGGAGGTCGGGACCACTCCACCAGGGCCGCGCTTTTCGTCCTGACTTGCTGTGTTGCGCTCCCTGGGCCCGGCGAGGGCCCCCAGAGGCCGAAAAAAGGGCCAAAAGCCGCCTGCTCCAATTGTTGCTGGAGCGTCGGAGCTCTGGGCGTGGTATGGGAGGAGTGACCTTCCACCGGAGCGCCCTCTGGTGCGGGCGCCCACGGGGGCCCCGGATGGCTGAGCGTGGTGCGATCCGTGGCAGCGGCCTGCGTCGTGCGGGGGTCCGGCCTCCCCGCCTTATCTTCAGGAGGGGAAGGAACACACAGACACAATTAATCGTCGCTTTCCCAGAAAATATGGGAAAATATGGGAAGTGGTGGGGAAGACAAAAACCCCAGAAAATATGGGAAAATATGGGGAATCTTTCTATTTGTGTGTATTTATTTGTGTGTCCCAGGGCCCCTTCATTTCTTCCCCCTCCCAGAGAGCCGAGGCCACTCGGAGGTCACCCTTTTGCCCGGGGCCCCTCCTGCGTGCGGCCGACGGGCGCGCCGCCCTTCGGCCCCGACCCAGGCCCCCCTCGCGCCGTGAGGAAGTCCCAACGGGAGGTTTCTCCACATTTTCTGCCTCGGGGGGCCCTCACCGGGCCTCGGGACCGTCAAAGAACGACGCAGGATGAGGAGCCGGTCCCGGGGGAAGGGTCCAGGCCTCTTGGCGTCGACGCCATTGAAAAAATCATGACGTCGGGGGTCTGGGCCTAGTGCATCCCGCCAACCCTCCGGGGCGCACCAACAACGCGCAGCCACCCGCAGGGCGCGGCTGGGCAGATTCGCGTGCGCTGCCGCATGCCACATCCGCTTGCGGCACCAGCGCCTCCTGGCGCACAGGTGCAGCCAGTCTCTCCGCACCGCGCTGCAAGCGTTGCGCAACTGGCACCATGGCGTTGGAATGTACCGCCCACTGCGCAGGGCCGACTTCAGCTCAGAGGCCGCAAAGACATCCGCTGGCACTGGCTGCCTGCTGGGGGATCGCTGCGCGTCGAGCGTCGCCCGGATGCTCCCGTACCCCCGCCATGGGGTTCTGTAGCCCGCTTTGGGGTGTAGGACCGCACATAAATCCCATCCAGAGCGGTCCGTAGCGCTCTCAGAGCGTTCTGGAACGTTCTGAGAAGGCGGCGGCGCCCGACTCCAGAGCCGCCCGATCTCAGAGAGAGATTCTCGATTTGTCGTCACCCAGGTTTATCCTCGTCCAGGTGTCGTCGTTAATCCTACACCCCAGATCCCAGTCGACGCCGCCGGGCAGATCCACCCCAGGCGGGGTCGGGGCTCAAGAGACGGGGGTCAATGCAAACGGGAGGCAGTCAGAGCGCCGGATGTTGCAGGATCCTGCAGGGCCAGGGGCGCCCTGACCTGGGCTTGGGCTCAGGATCCCGCAGGATCCTGCAAAGCCTGACTGACCCGGGTCTTAATTGACTCTGGTCAGTCTAGGCGTCCCAGATGGGGTCCGAGTAGATGGGGTCGGAGGATCCCGCCGCATCGACGATGCATCGCCGATGCGGCTCGATGTGGAGCCCGATTTTCTCCACGTTGATGTCGCCGGTGCATCACCGACGTTGCGGGTGCATCGCCGATGCGTCGCCGATGCATCGCCGATGCATCGGCGATACGGCGCGATTATCCGACCACATCTACCCCTTGTTCATGTCTAAGCATTCGAAAGTTATTTGATTTCTGGGGGGGGCCAAGATCCTTTCATTTCTAATTGTTCTGTCCTGGGCCTCTTCCTGGCCACTGGGGGTCCAGGAACAATCAGAAGCGAGCATGATCAGAAAGGAGCACGATTAGAAATGAGCGACGTGTACTCCGACCCCATCTGGGAGGCCCCTATAGTCCGTCGATGCCCGATAGGGGCGTGCGGGGGGAAAGGAATGCGGCGCTCCCAAGAATTCCCCCGCCCTCCACTGACGTTGGGCGAGGGCGTCGGGCGCCGTGGAGAGGCCTGCAGGACGCTCCTCTCCGCTCCCTGGGGGGCACTGCTCGTGCGTTCTTCGGGCATGCTCTCCTGTGCAGGGGAAACCCATACCACGCGAAGCAGGGGTGCTTCTAAGAAGCCCTCCCCCCCTACCCCCACCCCCTTGTGCGCGCCGCCAGAAGCCCATGCCCAGAAACACCTTTGCTTGCCTCCAGGGTGCCCGGGGTGTCTTGGGTTTAGACGGCCTTTGCGTTGGAGAGCGCGACGCTCCCAGACCAGAAATCAATGGGCGTCCTGTAGTCTCGGGGCTGGATTTCTTGTGGAAGGCTTCTTGTGGTCGAGCTTCTGCTGCAGTCCGCCGTGCAGGGCTCGTTTCGACCCCTCCGATTCGATTCGACTCGGTGCCGATGGCCTCCGATTCCGATTCGGTTCGGCTTCGGATTCCGATTGGGGTTCCGATTTGGCAGTGGAGGTCTACACCCTAGGCGATGCTTAAGAAAACCCAAGCTTTCGGCCAGAGTCTCGATTATTCTTAATGTTTCAATGTAAATCCTAAGATTTCAATCGAAATTCTGGGTTTTTATTCAAATTCTGAGACTATGAATTTCTTAACCCATGATTTCTTAAGCATTTCGCAGGGTGTACTAGCCTGCCGATTTCAGCCGATTCGACTCCTCCGACTTGGCTGCCGATTTCCGCCGATACGATTCACTTCGATCGCCGATCCGACTTCTCGATCCGATTGTAGGCTCTCCTGCCGTGCTACACCCCAGATCCCAGTTGACGCCGCCCAGCAGTTCTACCTGAGATGCTGGAGCGCGGCGCTTGGATCCCACACCCCAGATCCCAGACGACGCCGGCCAGTACTCCCGCCATAGCGGGAGGGAAAACGGAAGTCGGAGGCGACGATAGGGACACATAGCCCAGGGGGGGCGACGATGTTCCATGTCGTCGGCGAGGCTCCCCGACAAATACGTGGAAAGCCCGCCCCTCTGAAATTCGCCGGTGTCGTCGCCTCCGATCAACGGTGTTATATGGCCTCTCTCCGCCGTCGGGTGACATTGCTTGGTGTTTCTCGCCAGAAAGGCGTCTGTGGGGGCGTGCCGTTCTGCGGCGATGGTCGTGATCCCCGCAGCCGCATTTGCTCGGGGGTGCAAGCCAATGGATCGCACTTGGTCGCCAGGGAGCCCCGACATAGTACAGGGCAAGCCGTTCCCACGGCCAATACGAGTTGTTGCTACGGTTTCCGCCGCTCGGGCGGGCCGGGGGGTGAGAGGATGCTCTTCCTCGTCGCTCCGTTAGCATCATCCTATTATGTTATCCTCGTGATCCTCGCCATCCTAATCCGTCATCGACATCCTCGCTCGTCTGCCTCGTCGTCCTAATCCTCTCTCGTCTCCCTCGTGGTCCTAATCCGTTATGGTCCGTCCCCTTCCCCCTCCCTCCTTGGCCCTGCCTCGTCCCATAGTATTCGCCTGCTCGTGTCCCCTCATCTTCTTGCTCCTGCCCCACCCCCATAGTCCTACTTGTCGCCTGCTGCTGCTCCTCCGAATTCTACTCCTCTTCGTCCTGCCTCTCCTCCTTGTCCTCCTATCTTCCTCCTTATCATCGTCCTCCTCCTCATTGTCCTCCTCCTCCTTCTCCTCCTCCTGTCCTTCTTGTGCTGCTCCTCCCTTCCCCTCCTCCTCCTGCTTCTTCTCCTCTTCCTGCCCCCCTCCTCGTCACCCTGCCCCTCGACTGCTGCTACTCTTTCTAATCCTGCTCATCTTCGTCATGCCCCTCCTTCTCCTTCTCTCTTCCCCTCCTCCTGCTCCTCCTCATCCTCCTCCTCCTTCTTCTCCTCCTCCTCTTCTCCTCCTCTCTCGTCCTTCTTGGATTGCTCCTCCGATTCCTCTTTCCCCCCCTCCACCCGACGACGACGACCGCCACCACCAACACCACCACCACCACCACCACCACCACCACCACCACCGCCACCACCACGCGCGAGGACCCGAACCGAGCGACAGACGTGGCCCTCGGCCTGTCCTCATTCGCGGCCCTGTACGTCCGGGTGGCGGGCGCCCAGGTCACCCGGGGGGGGGTGATGGTCAGGACGGCTGGCGCCCTCGGACGCGGCCGGACTGGTGGGGAGGCCCCCGGGACCAGGGGAAGGGGCGGAGGGAGGGGGGGAGAGAATCACGTGAGGGCAAGTTGGTACAACGGTAGATGGGCTCGGAACGTTGGCGGCGCGTTTGGACTCCAGGAGCTGGCCGGGAACCCATTTGGAGCTAGCTGCCGCTGTCTCCACGCGCCTTGCTACGAAAGGGGTTGGGGAAGGGAAAGCAGGGAAAGGAGGGGGAGGAGGGGAGGAAGTGAGGGAGTGAGGGGGGAAGCGAGGAGAAGCGAAAGGTTGTGTGTGTGCGTGCGTGCGTGTGTGCGTGCGTGTGCGTGCGTGTGCGTGCGTGTGTGCGTGTGTGCGTGTGTGCGTGTGTGCGTGTGTGCGTGTGTGCGTGTGTGCGTGTGTGCGTGTGCGCGTGTGCGCATATGTGTGTGTGTGTGTGGTGTGTGGTGTGTGGTGTGCGGTGTGTGCGCGCGCGCGTGCGTGCGTGCGTGCGTGCGCGTGCGTGCGTGCGTGCTTCTCGAATGGAGTCTCGCCAGTGCCGTCGCCTGGCGTGAGGAGCAGAGTGCGCCAAGGCGAGCTCCCCTGCCCGCCTGGACCGCACGGTGGCCCGAGGGCCCTCGCCCCACCAGGCAGCCCTGGCAGGCGGTGCCCTGGCACAGCAAAAGGGGGAGGCGAGGAGCAGGCAGAGCAGACGAGCCAAGGCAGGCGAGGGCAGGAAGACCACCGGGGCAGGCACGCAGCTGTTCAGCACGTGCCCGTCGGTCGCTGAAGGTGGGCATTTCTGGACGCCCAGGTTCCAGTCTGCTTCATTCAGGAGGGGAAAGAACACACAGACACAATTATTCGTCGATTCCCAGAAAATATAGGAAAATATGGGAAGTGGGGGGGAAGACAAAAACCCCGAAAATATGGGAAAGTATGGGGGTCCTTTTTATTTGTGTCTATTTGTTTATGTGTCTCAGGGCCCATTCATTCATGCGCCTTCCTGCTTCAGTGATCGAGTGGCTTCACCGTTTCGTCCCCTTCAGGGGGCGGGCGGACACCCAAAATCTACTTTCAACGTCTTCCTGCTTCATGCTTCTACCTACTTTTTTCCGACCGAGGGGCCCTGAAGAAGGAACCCTTTTTGTTGGGGAGGGGCTCGGTGTTCCTTGATTGCTTTACAGTGCTCCTTGGGTTTGCCTGAGGTTTTCCATGGGAAATCGGAGTTTAACGTATGGGAAAAAAGGCCTCGTTTCTCATTTTTCGTTCCTTAGGTCAACGCCCCGACTGTAGCGTTGCCTGGATCGGGAGGGGTCCCAGGGGTAAGGGAAAGGGCGAGGGCGGGCGCGGGCTGCGGAGTCCCAGGAGAGGCCGCCCTGCCTGCCGGGCGGCCCGTGTGCTGGTCGGAGCGCCGCGGGCGGAGCGGGGGACAGAGAGAGAGCAGGATGCCTGAGACTTGGCATCGCTCGGACGTGTGCATTTTTCCTTCGGCGAGGACCACCGAGGAGCATCCTTGATCATTTGGCGAAAAAAACACGCACGAAACCGAAAAATAACACAGGGAATGGACGTCCGAGCGATGGCCAGGAGAGGAGGGGGCTGGGGACGGGACTCCAGTTCCGAAGGGGATCGCTCAGCGGGCGAAGAACGGCATAAAATAATGTTTGTTCGCCGTCGGGGGCGCCTGCCCCTGGGCGGCTGGAAAGTTTATACCCCTACGGGGCCACCGTAAGGGTATAAACTTTCCAGCCGCCCAGGGGCAGGCGCCCCCGACGGCGAAAAAGTTTATGTTATGCCGTTCTTCGCCCGTTAAATCGCCGCGAGCTGCATCGCGTACTCCCACTGCCCCGCAACAGGAGCGGCATCCGTGAGGAGTCAGAGCGCAGGGAGTGGTCGCCACAGGCCCTCTGCGGCAAGCCTTGCGCCGGGCACGCCCCTCTCCACGAGGAGCATCCAAAAAAAGGAAACGAAAGAAATAGTCGATTTTGTGGACGATTATACCACCCTTCTTGTGGATGATGTTCGAAGATCTGTCTACGATGTTCCAGCGTTCTGCCAAGATCCGCCTGCAGGAGGACGTGCCCGACCTCTTCCTCTCCTCCTCCTCCTCCTCCTCCTCCTCCTCCTCCTCCTCCTCCTCCGCCTCCTCCTCCTCCTCCTCCTCCTCCTCCTCCTCCTCCCTCCTCCTCCTCCTCTCCTCCTCCTCCTCCCCATCCTCCTCCTCCTAGGAGGACGTGCCCGCCTCCTCCTCCTCCTCCTCCTCCTCCTCCTCCTCCTCCTCCTCCTCCTCCTCCTCCTCCTAGGAGGACGTGCCCGACCTCGGGCACGCCCCGAGGACCCCGGCTGCCGCCGGGCGCCCGTGCAGGCGGGGAGAGCCGGCTGCGCCAAGGCCGCGAGGGCGGCGCACGCGGCAGTGCCCCGGCGGCCGCGCGGGTGCGGCCCGAGCGCGGCGGCGGCCAGGCCGGACAGGTTCAAGCAGTGGTGCAGCGCCCCTCCTCCTCCTCCTCCTCCTCGAGCCCTCCTCCTCCTCCTCCTCCTCCTCCTTCCTCCTCCTCCTCCTCTCCTCCGTTCTCCTCCTCCTCCTCCTCCTCCTCCTCCTCCTCCTCCTCCTCCTCCTCCTCCTCCTCCTCCTCCTCCTCCTCCTCCTCCTAAGATTGCAGGCCTAAAGATTGACACCAACACCAAGATCGGCGGTGTGCCTCCGCCGAGGGAAGAGGATCCCGACTCGGTGGTGGTGGTAAGATTCTGCCTTCTAGGGTGTATCCGAAATGTTGCCACCAACACCGGAATCTGGGATCGTCTTCCCCCTTGTGGAGGCACCCCCGTGTGTCGGTGTTGGTGCCCAGTTCCAGGCCTCCAACAGTGGTGCAGCGCCCCAGCTCGCACATACTGGGTAGTCGAATGTCAGACTGGATTGGGCCCCAGGGGCCAAGCTGGCCTGGCCACATTGGAGGATCTGGGTTAGTCGCCAGACGGGATTCGCGCTGGCTCCCTCGCCAGATTGCCCCCGTTTGCCAGGTTGGGCCTGCCAGATTGGCGCCAGATTGGCTTCGACTACCCAGACATAGCAGGGGCACGAAAAGTGGCATAAGCATAAAAACTCAAAGGTCCGCGCGGATTGCTTGGATCCGCGCTGGAGCCCCATCCCTGGCGCGCGGAGCGCGCCAGGGGCGGCGCCGGAGGCGCCGCCAGGGGGTCCCAGCTCCGACCCGAGAATTCCGCGCGGACCTCCGAGTTGTTATGTTTATGCCACTTTTCGTTTAAACAGGCCTACCAAAGTATGTTCTGAGCACCTGTTGTGGTCTGCACGAGATGTTCTCGGAACATGTCTGGCTGAGACTGTCTGTTTCAACACATCGGGCCTATGTTCCAAGAACACTGTTTTTGTGATTCGTGAATTTTGGGGTTCTAAGATTATGTCGTGGTAGGCCTATAGGAATGCCAGGACGGTCGGTTCCTGCTCAATCGTTTTCCTATTCATTGTTTTGCCGACCGGCGCGGGCCCTCGCACTCCCCCCCCCCCCTCCCCCCCCCCTGCACTGAGCAGATCTGGGCTGTCTTTGGCGCCTCTTTCAGGCAGCTGGGGTCTCTCCCATGGGACGCACGCTTGCAAACCGTCGCATTAGGCAGAGGCCGGGAGCCAGACCCCCCCCCCCGAAACGCCGAAACGCCGCATCAGCAAACGCCCACCCGTGGAGCGAGGACCCGGTGGCGAGGCTGGCCCCCGCCGCCTCTCCGAGGGCGCCGAGGCGCTCGGGTGGACGCCGCGCGGCCCCTCGCCTCGCTGCCTGCCCTTCGCCGCCCGTCGCCGCCGCGCGACGTGCACGACATGCCGGGCTGCCCTCGCCGCGGCCGCCGCGTTCACCGAGAGGCCGGCGACGCCTGCGACGACCGCGGCAGCGCCAGCGGGCGGCGAAGCGCGCGCAGGATAGCCCCGCGCCCACTGCCAGAAGCTGGCCCTCGCGGAGCAGAGCAGGGGCAGCGGCGCCCCAGGCTCAGCTGCGCCGAGGGGCCGTCGGCAGCGGCCTCCCCGCGATTCCTCCGCCCCGACGTCGCCGGTGCATCCCCGGCTTCGCCGGTGCCCTGCGGGCCAACTTGAGGACGCGAGTCTCTGTCTGAAAGCAGCTAGGTGTTGGCTGAAGCGCCCTGAGAGAATGCCGAGTGCAAGCCAGGAGGCCCCGTCGCCCATTGACGGGGCCAGCGGTAATTAGGGGAACTGCGCGGGATCAGGGGCAAAGACATGCAAACAGGGCACGTCCATTGGATGCAAGAGGAAACCAAGGGACATAAAGAACATCAAAAAGCAAAGCAACATGTGAAAGCGAAAACGGTTTCAACCACTGCGGTGTCGGAGGCTGGGAAAAATTATGACGACACAGCGTTTGCAGCAGTCGAAGCCCCAAAACGCTGTAAAACACAGTTGTCAGCAATCAGCGCTCCGAAGCGTATTTTTTTACCATGCGTTTGGTTTTGGACGTGGAAAAAACAATGTGAACGACAGCGCGTTGGAGCTCTGGTTGCTGAGAACGCTGTGATTTCACTGTTTTTTCTCCGCCTCCGAAACCAAATGATTGAAAACCTTGCAGTTGTCACAGTTGTCTTTGATATTTACCCCTCCCCCTCTCCCCCCTCCCCTTTTGTTCCCCTCCAGTATGCAACAAACGGGAATCATTTTGCAAGGCCACGAATCATATTGGAAGGCCGCCACGAAAGGAATCCTTTGGAAGGCCGTCACAACGAGGACTCCTTGTTTGCAAGGCCGACTCAACAAGAAACCCTTCTGTACGGCCGCCACAAAGATAATCCTTCTGCATGGCCGCCGCAAAGAGAATCTGTTTACAAGGCCGCCACAAAAGGAAGTATGTTTATTTGAACGCCGCCACGAGGAGAATCATGTGGTAAGGCCCGCCGCAACACGATTGCAAGTGTCATAGCCGCCGCGAGGAGCGACGACGGCGACGAGCGAACACGAGTGGTGGAACGATCGCAGGCGTACTTGAACGGCTGTTGGCAAGTGAACTGGAAAACGGCATGCTCCACCGCATGCCGATCACACCTGCACAGTGGGGGGAGGGGAACCGCAGGGTGCCGAAACCTGGGAGGTGCCGTCGGACCCAGCCGCCACGGAGAAGGCGCTGGGCGCCATCGCCGACGTGTTCGAGCTGTACGGGGAGGCCTGCGAGGCTGCCGTTCGCACCCTGGGTGGGGAGGAGGAGGAGGAGAAGGAGGGGGAGGAGGGGGAGGAGGAGGAGGAGGAGGAGGAGGAGGAGGAGGAGGAGGGGGAGGAGGAGGAGGAGGAGGAGGAGGAGCAGGAGGAGGAGGAGGACGAGGAGGAGGACGAGGAGGAGGAGGAGGTGGAGGAGGACGAGGAGGAGGACGAGGAGGAGGAGGTCCGTAGCCATTTTGGCTCAAGCCATTTTGGTTCAAGGGGCCTCGCTCCTGAACTTCCCAACCTCGCTCAAGGGGTTCAGCGGTCCGTATCCTGGCCACTCGCTGGTACCGTGGCCTTCGCGGGGGCATGGCAGGCGACGCGAGCGGCAAGCAGCGTGAGGTCCTGCCCGGGCCTAGAGAACCCCTGTGGTCGTGCAGCAAGTGCCATCGTGATGGCAATTGGGCGCAACGTATTGGGTGTAAATGCGGGGCCTCGGCCCCCAAGAAGGTGGTGGCAGCGGCTAAGAAAGCCCATGAGGAAGCGGTGGCGGGGGATACATCTGGGACGCCTAAAGGGCCCAAAGGGGCCTGGAGTGACCCAGGCAAGCTCCTGGCAACCCCTACCAAGAAGGTCGACGAACTTGCAAAAGGGCTTGCCCCTCCTGCAGGTGCGTCGTCGCCCCCGGTGGTGGCGTCGGGGGCAGGAGGAAGTGAAAGTGCCAGCCCTGCGACTAAGGACCTTCAGGCAAGGCTGGACTTCTGGAAGAAGGCCAGCCGCTTCGCCGTCTCAGGCGAAGATCGCGCAGTGGCCGATGCTAAGGTGGCGGCTCTGGCTAAGCAGGTGCTGCAGTCGAAGCCGCCTGAATGCGTGAGTCGTAGTTTGGCTACGTGCGTCAAGCATATTGCTGTTCTCCCCGGGTGTCCCGTCTCACCACACAGTGCCGTTGAGCTTGTGCTGGAGGGGGTCAGTATGGATGTGCCTGTCCAGGTTCGGGTGCGTTGGAAGCCTTTCCCGACAATGCCGTCGATTGGATGTCTTCGCGAGCCTTTTCCTTGTGCTTGGGGCTTGGATGCTGGAGAGGCTCCCTTACAGATGGGATTGGAGGCAGCGTGGGGGGAGTGGCTGACAAACATGGAAATGGAATTATGCAGGCAGTTTGATATTATTGGGGCAGGGCAGCGGCAGTACGTGGGTCGACGGTCGGAGTGCCGGGCTTAGGAAGAGAAGCGTTCCTTTGACAGTGACCCTGCGGCGCGATTGGGATGCCCACTGTACCCCCCAAGCACGTGCGTGGAGGACGTTGGCATCAGTCTTGTCTAAGGTTAAGTCGGCTTGACTTGCAGCTGACCCGCAAACGGGGTCATGACCGATATCTCAGACGGACGGCAGGGTGGACCAGTACTTGCTGAGGTTCTGAGGCTGGCGGATGTTCTGAGCACGATTGCAGAAGCCGATTTGGGAGATTATCTTACCAGGGCAGGGTATTCATTGGACCAGGTAGATCATCTTTCCTTAACAGGTGGTCGAGAGTTCTTGGATGTCCTGAGCATTGTGCACGAGATCACCCGTAAGGTTATGCGAAATGCCTTCGATGATCATTGGAGGAAATGGGCGCAATGGGCAAAGGTATCAGTGAAGGAAGGTAAGGTTGCGGCCCATGCATAAGCTAAGTCGGCGCTCCCTGTTGTTGGGCCAGCGGGCGAGTCCGGTTATCCTTTTCAGGGCGATGTTGCAGTCACAGCGTTGCAGAGCGAATGGGAAGCATATTGGTTGGATGCCAAATCGACGACTTCTCAGCTACAGCAAGTTCAGGCCCCTGGTGCTGTTTTGGACCGCCCAGCCCTCGCCCTGCTGAAGCGGGCCTTCGGCCGGTTAAAGCATAAAGTTGGACTAGGCGTTGATTGCGTTAATCTTCGATCGTGGTTGCTCTTGGATGGTTCATTTGTTTCTCGTTTGATTGATGTGCTTCTGCTGTGGGAGGACAACCCAGTGTTGCCGATGCAATGGGCTACTCTGATAGTCTTCATCGGGAAGTCCGATGGTGGCCTCCACCCGATCGCGCTCGTCTGCTCCCTCCTCCGGGTGTGGGCGAGGACCCGTCAGTGGCAAGCGAGAGAATGGGAGCGCTGGCACGTCGCGAGCTTCTTTTGGGGAGGGCGGGGCAAAGACTGCGAGCGCGCGGGCTGGTTACACAACATCCTCAGCTATCACAGTCACACGTCCCACATGGAGAGCGCATCTGTCTTTTCAGACTTGAACAAGTTCTACGAGAGGATCGCGATCGCTCATGGCATTTTGATGCGCGAAGGTGCAGCTATTGATTTCAACCTTTGGCTTCTTCGACCAGCGTGTGGATTGTATGCTGGAGCCAGGGCGATATGTTTTCAGTCAGCGATTGGACCAACATTTTGTGCGCGTGGCACGGTGTTGGCTGGATGCTCTTTGGCTACTACGCTTGTGAAGGTAATGCTATACCGTTGTTTCAGTGATGTATCTGTTGCGCACCCATCCGTGTATATACGTAACGTTATTGATGACGTATCAGCGCAAGGCATCGGCATTGTTAAGCACGTCTCCGAGCATGTCGGCAAGGTTGGGGACACGTTGGCTGGTGGATTCAAGCGTCTAGAGCTGGCTTTGTCGGCTGGGAAGTCATTTCTCTTGCGTCCTGCACGGAGCTCACGAACATATTTCAGAAGCGTTGGGCGGCTGAGCGGGTTATGCCCAAAGTTTCTGCTCGATCATTGGGTTGCGATGTGGTGGCTATCCGGCGGCCTTCCACGGCCACCGCTACCAAGCGCGCCATCGAGGGCCCGAAGCAGGCTGGGCGTCTGCACAGGTTGCGCAAGGCGGGCGCCCTTTTGCGTCTGAGGTCCACCGTGCTGGGCCTCGGGCCGGATGTCTACGGGGATCGTCTGTCACGGGAGTGCCGCCGCGCACGTGGCACTGCCTCCGGCTGGCGGCGCTCCGCTCGCTGCCCAAGGACACAGGGAGCACAGCCGTGGGGCGGAAATTCCGATCGTCGAAAGATGGTGGGTGCGTTGACCCCCCCTCCCCTCATATCATGCCCACACTGTTTGTCAGAGGGCGAGGGCCGTCTGGGAAGGGGTTCCGTTTTTCTCGATCCTCCAGCAGGTTTGTACGGCAGCCTCCGACCAGGCTAGGTCCTCCAGGACGCCGTGGACTCAGGCGACGTCGCCAGCACATGTGGTTGCCCTCGGCCTACTGTGCCTCGGATGGGCTCCCCTCTCATGCCTGTTTGCACGTGCGGCCTCGGGGCTGGAGTTAGACTTCTTGCAGATGTCGCCGGCCCATGTGCGTGAGTTGGTTCGTCAAGCCGCTCGTGACTCCTCGGATGTTCGATCGCTGTCTTCGCGTAGCACTTTTTCGTCTTGCTTGCGCCCTGTTTTCTGGGACCTTCTGCAGCACCTATTGGATCGTAAGCCTACTGCTGGTTGGACGGAACGGCACATCCACATTCTACGCGGTCTTGTTCCGACGGAGTTCTGGACCCAGGATCGTCTGCACAAGCACGAGCTGGCAGCGTCGAATATGTGCACCTTTTGTGGTGAGGAGGCCGGCACGTTGTTTCACCGTCGTTATTGTTGTGCGCCGTGGGCGCCAGATCGCAAGCATTGTTGTTCCAGCCTGCTGCTGCGTACGGCTCGCACGGCGAGCCAGTTAGGGCAGGACTTGACTAAGTTCGCATGCGGTGTATTTCCTGTTCCACGGGTGTTGGCTCCTAGAGCCCTCCTGTCTCATGAAGCGGGGGTGCAGTGGGTGAACATGCCAGCCGAAGGGTGGCTGTCTGGCATGATTTTTTCAGATGGTAGTGTTTTCTTTCCCACCCAACCGCTGCTCCGGCGCGCGGGTTGGGCACTCGTTATGGTCGACGCTTGCGGCCGCATGATTGTTGCAGCCTATAGGGCAGTCCCTTTAGACAAGTGTTCGCAGCAGACATCGCAGGACGCCGAGGACTACGCGATTTACATTGTGTCTTCGTGCTTGTTTGGGCCAGTGGAGGTTTATGTTGATTGCGCGTCTACGGTGCAGTGTTCCGGCAATCGTGCATGTTCGACTTCAGCTGCATGTTCGAACGCTCAGTGGAATGTGTTTGATGGTGATGGCACGCTGTCCGTTCACAAAGACTCGGGCGCACTGCACGCGCACGGACGTGGAGGCAGGCCGTGCGACGGCCTGGGAGCGCGAGGCCTATGAGTCCGCCGACGCGTATGCGAAGATGGGTGTCGAGTGTCACCCGTGCACGGCTGCGGCGGCCAGGGAGCGGGCAGGATTGCTATTGCTGGCAGTGGAGGCGGGCCAGTGGGCGGCTCACCAGGAGATTCTGCGAGATGACCGTGGGTGGAAGGATGCCGACGAGGTTCCCCCCCACAGCAACCATCCTCCTCCTGAGCCTTCTCCTGACCTTGCTGGCAAGACCACCCTCACCGTATGCAGGGACAGGTTGTTGTTTCCCGCTGTCTCACCCGATAGTGATCCTGAGCTAGCAGTTTTGATAAAATCGCAAGAACACCGCATTAAAATGGCTTCTGTCTTTCTGGCGGACGGGCGCCCTGTTCTGTCAGGTGTCGTGTCGCAGTGTGTACAATTTGTGGCAGCTATGCTTGGGAAGGTGTGCAGAATCTTGCGAAGCCTTGCAAAGACCCAACCACCGCCCTGAAAAGGCAGCAGAACCGGGCTGCTGAAGGCAAGTTCTCCGGCTGGGCACCGCGATACGTTGGCTGGAGAATCGGGCCCTTGTCGGAGGCCACTGAGCAGGACTTGGCCTGTCTCGTGGCTCGTCGGGCTCCGAGTCTCGTCTCCCAGGCGGCCCAAATTGGCGAGCTCCGGTCTGGGGGTCCTGGAGGGCTGGTATGGGGTCAGTCGGAGCTTCTCGCCAGATTTGGGCTGACCCAGGAGACTGCAGATGCATGGGCGACCCGTGCGGAGCGCCTCAAGGCTGCCGCTGCGAACGCAGCAGAAGCAGCTGAAGGCGGCTCAGATTCAGATTCCGGGGAGCATTTTTAAGTCTCCCATTTCGATCTTGGGCTGCTATGTTTAGGGCTTGCCACCATCATTCGACGGCTTGCTTTCTACAGCGACAGCGACAGAGAGGAGGAGGAGGAGGAGAAGGAGGAGGAGGAGGAGGAAGAGGAGGACGAAGTGAACGATGGGGGGAAGCATGGGAAGGAGGAGGAGAAGGAAGAGGAGGAGGAGGAGGAGGAGGAACACGGGGAGGTTTGGGCTCAGTGGCGAGCCATGGGTGGCCAGCCAGCCAGCAGCAGCCTTTGACCTCGGGCGCCGCGCCGTCTGGTGTGCGTCCCATGCACCACGGAGGGTGCTCACCATCGCTCGCGCAGCCGTGAGACCGCCGGGCATGGAGGGGAACGCGAACGCGCTGTGAGCTACAATGGCTTGTGGCCTCGGGAGCGCGAAGGCGTTGCAATTTACCCTGGGGTGTGGTTTCGGGGGCGCGAACTTTTGGTAAGTTGTAAGTGGTTGAGGCCTCGGGAGCGCGAAGAGAAGGTACTCTACGAGGGGCTGCGGTTTCGGGAGCGCGAGCGCGCAGCGATTTGCGAAATATTGGCTTCGACGACGCAAACATGCTGTAATTCTCAAGGGGGTGTGACCTCGGGGGCGCGAGTGCGTTGCTATTTGGGAGAGATGTTTCCCCCCAGTGGCGCATTCTTCCAGTAATTTGCAAGGGAGTGTGGCTTCGGGGGAGCGAGTCCATGGTAATTGATCAGTGGGTGTGGCCGCATGAACACGCTTTCGTAGCAACTAACCCAGGGCTGTGGCTTCGGCAGCCCCAGTGCGGCACAATTCACGGGAAAGTGTAGCCTCGGGGGCAAGAATCGGTTGTATGTTTACGTATCCCAGCGTCGCCCCAGAAATCCAGAGCACGTGAATCTGGCGCTTTGTAATGGGATGTTTTTCTGGCCGGGGCCCATGCGTTGTTTTCATTGATTCCAGACTGGGAACTCACGATATAAGTAGACATTGGGAACCGGAGCTGTTGCAGGAGCAGGTGCTCCTCCGCCTCGCAGCCAGTTGGCCCACAAGGAGGCTGGCGGAGCATCGTCGTCATCGTCACCGTCATCATCATCATCATCATCATCATCATCATCATCATCATCATCATCATCATCATCATCATCATCACCATCATCACCATCATCAGCATCAGCATCAGCATCAGCAGCAGCATCATCTTAAGTATCATCATCCTTAGCATCATCACCACCATCATCATCAGTAATATAACCATCGTCATCATCACCATCGTCATCATCATCAACGTCAGTATCATCGTCATCATCAGCATTGTCATCATCAGCGTCATCATCAGCATCATCATCCTCTTCATTGCCCTGCTTCTCATCATCCTCTTCATTGCCCTGCCCTCATCAGCATCATCATCCTGCTCCCATCCTCATTGCCCTTTTCCCTCCTTCCCTGTCCAAGTCCCCTGCTCACTCCTTCCCCCCCTCTCTGTTTTGCCCCCCCCCCCTCTCCCTCGACACCCTCCTCCCCCCCAATGCCCCCTCCTCCCCCCTCCCTCCTCCTCGGCCTCACAGCGTCCAACGTGTACATGGATGGAGGACGGGTCGCTCTCACGACGTCGCTTCCGCCCCTCGGCGCCGCAGGCAGCCATCTTCCAGCTGCCAGCACCTGCCAGGAGGGAGGGCTGGTTGCTTAATTTGCGGGTCTCGGCTGGCGCCGCGTGCATCCGCTGTCAGCGCGCCCAGCCGATACGTGGATGGAGCGTGGCCCTTTTTGTTAAATGGAGGTATCGCCCTATATCAAGGGCAGGAGAAACGCCCCTACCCTGGTTTACGAGGCGCTGTGCGCTGAAACTCCTGTGGGCTGACTGGTAAACCCTGCGTGATGTGCCGCGTCCTGGCGGCTCTAGGCTTTGGGGGTTCCCAGGAGGTTTACAGACCACGCACCTGTAACCCAGGGTAGGGTCGTTTTTTCATCCCTCAACTATACGTCTCCGCCTCTCGACTAGACATGTAGACATGATTGTGAAACAGCTACGGGGACGGAGTGCGGTTCCTTGTCAACATGGCGCTCCCACCTGCGACGTCTTCCAGCACTGTGACAAGAGGTGCGAACCTGCGCAGACATGGCACGGACGGAAGGCCGTCCTTCTCGAAACGGGGCATCGTTGGGTGCTTCGCTGGAGCGTATGAGTCGGCGGCCGGCTTGGCGGGTAAGTGTGAGGGGGCGGGCCTCCTCAGAAGGCTCGGAAGCCCCCCCGCCTTCTGAGAAGTTGTCGAAGCCTTCCCCGAAGACGCAGAAAATATGTCAAAAGGCCGGAGAGTTTCGGAGAAGCCCCGTCGCCTTCTGAGAGAGATTTCTCTTCTTCTCAGTTCCCCCCTCGCTCGCCGCCGAATGAGGAACTCTCGCCAGAATGGCGGGCCCCCGAGGCGCTCGTGTCTCAAGAGGGCGCCTCCCATGATGCACATTGGGTTTGCTCTGGTCCCCGTCCTCCCCCTCGCTTTCCTCCCCCCTCGCACCCTCCCCCTTCACCCCTCCCTCCTCCATCCTCTGCCTCCCTGCTCCCAGTTCCCTCCTCATCCTCCTCATGCTCTCCTCCTCGCCCCCCCATTCAGGACACAGCTTAATCAACAAAACACCACCCTGGCTAGGATGCAACTCCTAGGAGGTTAGATTCTGCATCGGCGCTGGCATTTCCGCGGTCGATAACCGGCTTAATCTGGGATAATCCGGCTTACCCCGGGCTTAATCCCGTTTGCTTTTGCTTAATATGGTTTGAGCCCGCTTATTCCCAGGCCTGATCTGGCTTGCTCCGGTGAAGTTGCCCTCTAATCGGGCTCAATCGCCCGTAATCGTTCCGACGGAGACCTCCCAGGGGTGGCCTCCTAACCCCGGGCTGACTCATGTCCCATCAGTTTGGGCGACATCTGCCCGTTGCAATCCCCTGGTCGGACGCCGGGGGCGTGACGCGCACTGGCGCAGAGGTGATCTCGCCTCGCTCTTCGCCTTGGCATCGCTCGGACGTGTGCACTTGTCCTCGGCGAGGACCCTCGAGGAGCATCTTGGGCCACCTTGCGGAACAAGTGCACGCACGAGGCCAGAACATGCACGGGGGATGGGCGCTCGAGCGATGGCAGGTCGCGGGCCCCGGGCGGGGCGTTGCTGCCCTCTCCCTCGCTCTGCACTTCCGTGGGGGGGGGGGCGGCGCGAGGGCGCGAAGACGACGGCCAGCGCGGCCTCGGAGGCGCGCCCGAGAAGACGCAGCCGTGGATGTTGTCCTCCTCCTCCGCCTCCCCCTCCTCCTCCTCCGCCTCCGCCTCCTCCTCCTCTTATTCTTCTTCCTCCTCCTCCTTCTCCTCGTCCTCCTCCTCCTCCTCCTCCTCCTCCGCCTCCTCCTCCTCCTCCGCCTCCTCCTCCTCCTCCGCCTCCTCCTCCTCCTCCTCCTCCTCCTCCTCCTCCTCCTCCTCCTCCTCCTCCTCCTCTTCGTCCTCCTCTCATTCCTCCTCTGCCCTCGGTACGCTCGTCTCCTCTGATTCCTATCGCTATCGCTATCGCTATCGGCTCGATGTCCTGTCGGACGCAGCCGTCCGCGCGGCCGGGGCTACACGCGCGCGCCCGAAGCGCGTGGGGGGGGGATCACCCCCCGACACAGACCCCCGCCAGGAGGACAAGGGGAAAGCCGCCAAGGCTTCGCAAGGGGAGGGGCGGGGGCCGAAAAGGGCCGAGAAAAATTTTTGGGGGGGGGGGCACCCGGAGGCCAAGACAGCCCGCTGCACTCTCCTCTCATTCCTCCTCCTCCTCCTCCGCCGCGACCAGAACTGCGGCCTGTCCCCTGCGTTGGGGCGCGCTCCGGCTGCCGACGCCTTGTTGCGCAGCGCTCCGGCCGCGCGAGGGTTCGTTTTTTCGCTCTTGGCCTTTGCCGAGCTTCAGACGTTGCCCTGCCGAGCGGGCCCTCTTCGCTATTTGCATATAAAACATCGGCGGGCCCTCTTCGGTATTTTATATATATATATATATATACATATATATAAAAATATATACATAAAAAAAAAAAAAAAAAAAAAAAAAAAAAAAAAAAAAAAAAAAAAAAAAAAAAAAAAAAAAAAAAAAAAAAAAAAAAAAAAAAAAAAAAACGGCGACGCTTCGTCTTCACACAGACACAATTAATCCTCGACTCCCAGAAGATATCGGAAAAATTGGGAAGTGGGGGGGGAAGACCAAAAGCCCAGAACATATGAGAAGATATGGGGGCTAGTTTTATGTGTGTGTATTTATTTGTGTGTCCTCATTTCCCTTTAACGTTGCCTTGCCGAGCGGGCCCTCTTCGCTGTTTGCACATAAAGCATCGGCGACGCTTCGTCTTCAAATTCGGAGAAGGCAGAGGTGTCCAGACCGCTGCCGTGTTCGCCTGGTTCGGCCTCTTGGGAGACCCTCGTCGCCATCGCCGGATTCGCCTCCACGTGTTTCGGTGGTACCTTCCTCGACTCGTGAACCTGGCGCCCACGCGCCAGATATACGGGCCACAAGTCCATGTCAGCGTGCGCCCGAGACTCAGGAATCCGAGGTTCTGGTCCAAAGCCTCGGATCCCTCCTCCACCTCTGCCACCTTCTTCCCTGTCCTCCCCCCTTCCGTCCGATATCGCTTCAGATCCGGCTTCACGCGATCCAGTCTCCGACTCGATCTGGTCCAGCCTTGCCGATTCTTGCCGACCCGATGGCGCAGCCGATTTTCAGCCGATGCTAATCGATTCGGCGTTCCCGCCGACCCGATTCGATTTACAGTTGGACCGAGGTATAGGATCGAGGTCGAGGAGGAGAGGGCACTCCTGTGTTCTTCGTGATTGCTGGATGTTCTTGTGCATCCTGGGGAAGGTACCCTGGGATGTTCAGTTTTTTCTGGCCGACGGAGGGTCTCATGTTCTTGATGGATGCTCTTCTGGCCTAGGTCCGACTGTATCTTCTGATGGTTTTCGGGACATAACTTGGGTCTCTGGCGGCCGTCCGGGACGATCTGGGCACCCAAGAACGCTCTCGACGAGGCGCAGCTGCTGGAGACCACCCCGAGGCGACAGGATTTCCAAGAAACCCCTCCCGAGCAAGGCTCCCGGCGAAGCGCAGCCGCTGGAAGGCATCCTGAGGGTAGGAAACCGCGCGGAACCAGGTAGAGCGTGGCAGTTCCCTGGCGAACTTCCCCCCCTACCCCCCCCCTCCGAGGAGATCACGTGGGACCCCCAGATCCCGCCCAGGATCTTGACTGATGTTTTTCTGGCCTAGGTCCCCTTCCCCGGGACCGGTTTTTCATCCCGAACCCTTTTGGTTGACGGCCCCGGGGCCTCGTAGGGGCCCCCGGAGGCTGAAAATTGTACAAATGGTCTCGATGTTCTGTTTGTTCTGGCCGACGGAGGGTCTCATGTTCTTGATGGATGTTCTTCTGGCTTAGGTCCGACTGCATCGACCCGATGTGGGGGGGCCGCCTGCTTGGCCCGAGTCCCGCTTCCTCCTCCTTCTCCTCCTCCTCTTCCTCCTCCTCTTCCTCCTCCTCCTCCGCTCCTCCTCCTCCTCCCCTCCCCTCCTCCTCCTCCTCCTCCTCCCCCCCCTCCTCCTCCTCCTCCTCCTCCTCCTCCTCCTTCTCCTCCTCTCCTCCTCCTCCTCCTCCTCCTCCTCCTCCTCCTCCCTCCTCCTCCTCCTCCTCCTCTCCTCCTCCCTCCTCCCCCTCCCCCTCCCCCTCCCCTCCCCCTCCTCCGCGCAAGCCCCCCCGAGCTTGCTGGGGCCGCCTGCGTGGGCCCGAGGCCCCGGTCGTGCCCCGGGGGCCGTGCCCGCGGGCCTCGCCTCCTTGGCGCTGCGCGGGGCATGGCGCGCGGGGCCGCGGCGTGGCCGCGCCGCGCGGGGCTGCGGTGCTCCCTGGCGGGCACCGCGGGGGCCGCCGCGGCGGGCGCCTCGGGCTGGCGCATCCCGAGGAACAGAAGCACGGCAATGGACGCACGAGGGAACGATGCCAAGGCCCGAAGAAGAGAGAGCGCCTCTGAAACGCAGACTTTTGGCGCTCCTCGCGGATTTGTCTTGGATCCGCGCTGCACCCCCCCCCCCCCCCCCCCAGCGCCTCCAGCACCGCCCCTGGCGCGCTCCGCGCGCCAGGGAGGGGGGTCCAGCGCAGATCCAAGAAATCCACGCGGAGCGGCAAAAGTTTATGTGAATGGCGTTTTTTCTTCTTCCAGTCAAGCAGAGGAGGGAAAGGTAACTAATAATTGTACCGCTGCCCTTCCCTTGTTTTTTTCGCCCTTTGCGGCCTCGGGGTAGGCCCTCGTCGCCACTGCTGGCTTCGCCCCGAAGTTCTCGTCAGAACACACCCCGGGAGAGGTCGCGGAGACTGGAGGCATCGGTACCTTGTGGTCTCCCCAGATGTTGTGAAGGGTGTCACCGGTGAGTCTCTGCCGCGTTTGCCACCGAGCGCACGGATCCTTCGAGAGGTGTTGCGGTCGTCCCATTCTTCTATTTGCCTCCCTCTTCTCCCCCACAAGAAAGTCCAGCATAAACATACGGTCGGTAACTTCTGCTTCGCTCTAATGGAGGATGACGATGAATAAATGACCGGGGGTCGTGTTCACGCGGCGGCGCCCGGGATGACGATTAGAAAAAACCGGCCGCGGGCTGGAAAACTATTGTTTTAATCGTTCTCCTCCAGTCAGAAACTTGTGCAGAAATAGCAGAAAACTATTTTGTTATCGTTCTCTCCCATTTTTTCATTAATCGTCATCCCGCATTAGGCCTCCAGGATGGGGTCGGAGGATCGCGCCACATCGCCGATGCATCGGCGGTGCGGCTCGATGCGGAGCCCGATGTGCCCCGCGCCGACGGTGCCGAAGCGTCGCCGACGTCGCGGATGCATCGCCAGTGCGTCGGCGATGCGTCGCCGACGCGGCGCGATCCTCCGACCCCACCTGCTCGGATCCAGTATGGAGGCGTCTGATAGCTTGTGTCGGCGGCTGTCCCGGCGACACGCTATACCTTCCGAGTGGATGTCGGGGGCGGAAAAGAGGGGGGTGATGACTAGGGGGGGGGGATATCATGGCGGGGGCCATGATAGCTCTCCAGATTTCATGGCGCCTCTTCTTACTTCATTACGTCCCTGGCCCCCCCGCTGGGCCGCGCACATGCCGCCGGTCATGATTTGCCCCCCCCCCCCCTCTTGGACACCCCCCCCTTGGCCGCTCCCGATCAACTCGTGTCGGCGGCTGCCCCGCCGACACGGTACGCCTTCCGAGTGGAAAGCACGCCGCTCAGCTCCACAAGGCGGGAGGCTGGGACAGACTCGGGGCGTGGACGCTCGGGCGCTGGGACGTGGATGGCGTGCCGCGCCGAAGCGTGGCGGGCCAGCACCGAGCCGGCGGCGCGACTCGCGGAGCAGACGTTCCCGATCGTAACTTCTCGGCGGCCCGCGCGGTCGTTTACGGATCGGCGTTGGGCCCCCCCTGGCGCGCCCGGCGTGCCAGGGATGAGGGACCAGCGCCGGTCCAGGAACTCTGCGCGGGCCTCCGAGATGACGTTCATTCCGCCTCTGGTTCCTCCGGCATCGAGGCCACCGTGCCGAGGATACCCAGCTGGCGAAATCGGGCCGTCTTGGTCGTGGCACAGGGGCCAGGGGGGCGCGTGTCTCTGCATCATTTGTTGGCCGTGCCGTTGCGAAGCTGGACCTCGAGGAGCCGCCCTGCCCGGCAGAGGGGCCCACCCGTTTGTGAGCCTGGATTTTCCGCAGCACCGGAGGAATTGCAGGAGATCGAACCCAGAGGAGCAAGAGGTGATGATAATGAGGCGTTCCAGGATTGCCAAGGTTTCCAGGATCCCCCATATTTTCTACGATTCCGCACCGGCTGCGCTGCTAGACACTCTGGAAATATTGGTACGCATCCACAGCCGATCTTATCATGACATCCTTCTCGCCCTAATTGAGAGCCTGAATATCGCGAAGCACGGAAGGTATGGCAGCACATCGAACCGCAACAAAGCCGAAATTTGCAACAGGAGCACGTCCGTCGTGAAGGCCTAGGCTTCCCAGATGGGGTCGGAGGAGAATTCAGCATCGCCGATGCATCTGCGATGCGGCTCGATGTGGATCCCGATTTTCTCCACGCCGATGGCGCAGATGCATCGCTGAAGCTCGCAGTGGGAAAACGTCCGTCGTTCAGGGCAAATATCTGTGACTTGTGGGGCACGGGTGCCCCACGGTGAGTTCGTGACGTCTCGACGCGGCGTCGCGACCCTGCCGCGGGCGTTCAAGGACGAACGCCTCCAGTGGCCCAGAATCGGCCAACGTGAGATGGTTTCGAATGAGAACAAACGGCATAAACATAAACTTCCAGAGGAGCTCCGCGCGGACTTCTTGGATCCGCGCTGGAGCCCCCTGGCGGCGCCTCCGGCGCTGCCACTGACGCACGCCGCGCGCCGGGGAGGGGGTCCGGCGCGGATCCAAGAGACCCGCGCAGATTCTCAAAAGCCTGTGGTATGCCTGTTGTTCGTTCGCGATTTGGTGCGGCGGCCGTTCAAGGCTGAACGATCCACGCGGTGTCAGAAGCCATCGCTGAAGTCGTCACAGCACGAAACCCGCCGCGGGCACGCTGGGGAGAGGCGAGGAGGTGATCTGAGCTGCTCGGCAGGCTTTCGCACGCGTCCTCGCCCCTCCGAGTTCCTCGCCCACGAGCACTGGCTCGCTCAATTTGTGAGTCAACCAGTCTCCGGTGCTTGAGGTCCCCTGCGCGCTCTTCCCGACGTAGACTTGAGTCGGGCACGTCCCCCTACAGGAGGAAAATTCGGAAATAGTCAAACATTCGTCAGGGGACGACTGTTCCACTATATTTGATTATTGCGAAGGCCTTACGGCCGGTGCCGCCGACCCTGAGAACGACGAAGATGAAAACGAGGGGGGAAGGAGGATGAGTGGGAGATGGAGGAAGGGTGGAGGAGGTGGATGAGGGAGGAGGAGGGGGGGAGAAGGATGTGGAGGAGAAGCAAGAGGAGGAGAAGGAGGCAGAGGAGAGCAGGAGGAGGGGGAGCAGACGGGGGGGGGAGGAGAAGGAGGAGGAGGAGGAGGAAGAGGAGGAGGCCAGAGGCTTTCTTGGGACAGCCTGGGGCTCTCTTGATGCCGTCTTGGGCCGTCCAGGGCTCCTCTTGCGCCGTCTCGAGGCACTTTTGGAGGCCTCCTGGGCAATTTCGGGCTCTCATGGGCTGTCTTGGGGCAATGTTGGGGGTCGCTTGGGCCGTCTTGGAGGCGTCTTGGGTCGTCTTAAGTCCCTCTTCGGCCGTTAGGGGACCCTCTTGGGGGCCTCTTGGGCCGTCTCGGGGGTGATATTGAGGGCCTCTTGGGCCGTCTTGGCGCGTCGGGAAGCGGAAGAGGCAAGAACGCCAAAATCTGATCTGTTAAAACCGTATGGAAATCCATGAATTTTGCCTCTTGGGGCTCTCGTGGGAAAGCTCCTGGAGGTCTCCTGGGGCGCTTTGCAGGCCTCTTGGGCCGTCTGGAGGCCGCCAAGGCGTCTTGGACAGATCGTTCGGCGATTCGGGGTTCTCTTGGACTGTCTTTGGAGCCTCTTGGGGCACTCTTGGCCCGTCTTGGGGCTTTTTGGAGCTCCAGGACTCCCCGGGGGGGCGTCGTATCTGACCCTCCTGACCCCCCCCCTCCCCCCCCGGGACCCCAGCTGGACCCCCCCCCGGGAACCCCCCCTCAGGATCCCCCCCGGGACCCCCCCCGGAGACCCCCCCCCCCTGGCGGGGGAGGGACCGAAGCGAAGGGGCTTCCCTTCGACTCAATTACGACGGTGCTCAACTTCGCTTTGGTAAGCGCGCTGAGGAGGTCCCTGGGAAAGGGGGAGCTCCGACGAGCCCACAGGAAGGGGGAGGCAGGGAAAGGGGACGACAGAGACGACGACCAACGAATGACAGAGATGACGACTTGAACGGACAAGCCCCTCACACACGCCGACGGGGTCGGCGGATGTTTAAACTGCTTCGGACTATTTCTGATTCTTCGCCCAAAGATCCGCCTGCAGGAGGACATGCCCGACCTAAACGCAGACTCTCTGCGTCTGAGGCCTCCTCCCTGCTTCCTCCCCTGCGGCCGACCTCCTCTCGTCCGCGTGGCTGACCGTGCCCGTCGCGCGGCGCGCCCAGCCAGCTGCCCGAAGGCGCTGACAGCCGCTCAGCGCTGCGCACCACGAGGTTTCCGCTCGTCGCCCTCGCCGTCGCTGCTGGCAGAACCGACCTCATCGTGAGCGCACGAAATTTCGGACACGTGCGCGGAGGCTCAAGAGTTTGCGTGTATGCGGTTTCCCCCAACCGACAAGGAAGGCTCGCTTGATGTTGAGAACAGGCCTCCCGCCCGACCACTCTGCATCTGGCGGCTGCCATATCCCCAGGTCCACCTGGAGCCCCCAGGACTCCTGCCCCTCCCGACCCGGCCCGCCCACACCGCAGACCGTGGCCACCAGATCACCTGGTCCACCGAGAGTCCCCGAGACTCCCGACCCGACCCGCCCATTCTGCATACCGCGACCGCCAGATCACCAAGTCCCTCGAGAGTCCCTGAGGTCCCCGCCCCTGTGAGCACGACAGAACACAACCAACAACACAGTACATACCATAACACATCATGGCAGAACAGGCCATGGCAACTGAACACAACATGGCGTAGTATAGCATAGCAGAGCACGCGATCACATAGCAGGACCGAGCACCTCATAACAAAACATGTGATGGCGTAGAAAACCATACATAACATGCCATGTGCTCAGACATCGTAACATGCTAGAGGAAATGCAAGATAACATAGTAGACCATGTCATACCATCACATGGCAGACCAGATCGTATCACTGCACACCAATGCATTAAAGAGCCCATCTCAACATGGCAACGCCTCCTCCTCCTCCTCCTCCTCCTCCTCCTCCTCCTCCTCCTCCTCCTCCTCCTCCTCCTGGAGAGGGGAAGGTTTCTTAGGAGCACCCCTGCTTCTCGGAAGCTGCGGGCCTTGCCTGTAGATGCAGGGCTGGCTCATTCCGAAAAGCAATCTCCTTGTAAGAAGCCTTGCCCCCCTCCCCCTAACCTCTGGTGCGCGCCTCCAGTTGTGGGCTTCTGCGAACGGGCAGGGCATCACCATTTCAGGGCTCGTTTCGATTCCTCCGATTCGATTCGATTCGACTTCAATGGCTTCCGATTCCGATTCGATTCGACTTGGGATTCCGATTTGAGCTCCGATTGCTTGTTGGAGGTATAGTAGGTTGCCGGTTTCCGCCGACTCGACTCCTCCCAGCTTGGCTGCCGATTTCCGCCGATCCGATTCGCGTCGATCGCCGCTCCGACTTATCGGTTCGATTCTGGGCCGTCTTGCCATTTGGACTCCGCTGGTCGCTCACAGTCTGGCTGCTCGTTTTGGCAAGAGGGGGGGGCCTCGGATGCCGCGGGCGGCCGCGCGCCGAGAGGGAGCGCGCCCAGATTTCGGTCCAGCTGGGGCCCGTGCCCCTGCGGCTGGAGCAGGTGGGCGCAGGAGACGGGGCGACGGAATCTGCGTGTTCGGAGGAGGAAAGGGTACCCAGTCCGCCAGTCCGGGTTTCGTCATAGTGAAGCGTGGGGGGGAACCCCCCCGACGGGGGTCAACCTCGCTACGTTGTCGCGCTGCGACGGGGGTCGGAGCGCCTTCGGCGCGCGGTGGCTGCCCGCGACGGGGGTCGATGTGGGGCTGTCGGCGGGGGTGACGCCCCCCCCCCCCCCCCCCCGACGCTTATTAAGAAATTTGGAGTACCCATACCTCTACCCTGCCCTCGTTTTCGCCTTCTTGGGCTTCCTGGGAGGCCCTCGCCGCCACGGCTGGATTCGCCCCGAAATCCTTGTCAGAACTCACCCCAGGAAAGGTCCAGGGAGTGGAGCCATAGGTACCTTTTGATTTCCCCATATGGGGCGGTCCAGAAAGGGCCTTACCTTCGAGGATCGAAGGGGTTGCCATCTCTTCCGCGGCGGAAAGTGGCGGAAGAGCGGCGGAAGGCCGGCGGAAGCAAAACGAGGCCCCCTCCGCCGGCGGAAGCAGGCGGAGGGCTGGCAGAAGGTGGCGGAAGTACAGGATGCGCCCCTAGGAGATGAAAGCGTTTTGGGTTCCGGGTTTCCGAGATCGCCCATATGCACATCCATTGCCCCACGCTTGGTCCATCCTGCGCCCAGGCGCGGTGTATCTACGCCCTCCTGGCCTGGCCAGGGATGCGTCTACGCCGCTCCTTGGCTCAACATGGGCCTGGTAGGGGGGAGTGGATGTTTGCAGTGAAGGCCCGTCCATAAGAAACCTTCCACAAGAAACCCGACCCTGAGATTCCAGGACGTCCATTGGTGCTTGGTGTGGGAACGTCACGCTGTCCATCGCAAAACCATCCAAACACAAGAACGCAAAACAATCCAATCACAAGAAACCCAGGGCACCCTGGAGGCAAGCAGGGGGTTCCTTGGCATGGGCCCCCAGTGTATGGACCTCGTCGCCCTATAGGAGAGTGGGTACTGGTGGAGGGCCTGCTGTACGCGGAGCTGGGGCGCCCGGTCGCTGCCGTGGTGGAGGCGGGCGACGTGCCTGCCTACCACGGCGCGTCGGGCCACAAACGGCCGGCGTAGGCCTGTCCGGTGCACCCAGCGATCCGACGTCCAACAAAGTTAAAGCGGCTGGATTTGGGCCGTTTTCGGCCTCCCAGGGCCCTCGCCGGGCCTCGGGGGCGTCAAAACAAGACGCGGGACGCAAGATTAGCCCTTGGGGAACTGGTCTAGACTTCCGGGGCCCACGCACCGAAAAAAAACAGCTGGATGTCCGGTCTACGGGCTCCCCGTGGGCAAAGACAGTGGACGGGCATGCACGCCCGGTCCGAGAAGAGCCTTTGTGGGGGGCATCCTCCCGTCTCCCTCGCCCCCCCCCCGTCTTCCGATTGCGCATAAAACGATTGAGGTCTTCTGGGGGATCCCAGATCCCCTAGGGCACGCGTCCGAGGATAGAGACAAAATCAGCGCAGTGGGAGGGAGGACTAGGATGGCAAATATTGAGCGAGCGCACCTCCCGGACCCGACAATATGCGTTTACTAAACGGCCCTGGACGTTTATTAAACAGCCTTGCCCTGTTCGGCCCCTTTCTGTGGGTGCGTTTGCGAAACGGTGTCACATGTCAGGATTATCATTATGGGGGTGGATATTCTGCCCTCCATTACCTCCTCTATGTTCCTCCTCCTCCTCCTCCTCCTCCTCCTGTTCCGCTCTAGTCCTCTTTCCTTACCCCGTATAGAAGAGTATGATCGCCGACCTTGCGCCACCTGGCAGGCCGATGTGATTGGCCGCCTGTTTGTAAGTGAGCCTGGCGAAGGACCAAGCCGTATGCAGTTGTGGTTGGCGCACTTGTGAGCACCTTCTTCGTTGGAGTTGCTCTCCTCGAGGTCTATGCGCGGGTAGCGACCTCAGTATATTCACCATTCACCGCAACATGGGCCCAACCTACTACGGACACTCGGGCCGCACCAGCAAGGTAGACCACATTGCGATCCCAAGTGGTCTAGTAGGTCAAGTAGTATGTTGCAACACGCTCCACAATGCTGGTAAGAGATTACAGAAGATTTCGGAGTGGCACAAAGACCGCGTACCAGTAGGACTTACCCTCCGCCATCACCACCCCCATTCCTTAGCCCCGCCCACGTCCCGACGACAACAAGGATTGTGCAGGGACGGGTTCATGGACTGCGTCAGGCGCGGATACACGATGGAGGCCTTGTTCGAGGCAGTCGACGCAGAGATGAGAGCGGTGGGGGAGGAGGCCTGGGACAGAGCACGGGTAGAAGCTGCAGGTGAGCGAGGAGACGAGGATGACCTAGCCCACTACACTACGCAGGAACTGTTCCGCAAAGGGGGGGCTTTGCTGCAGAGACAGGGATGGCGGGATGGCATGACAATATGGAGGGAGCAGCGAGGGCACGACGTGGAGGAGCAGGCCAGAGGATGGGCAGAACGATCCCACTGCGTCGGCAGGGGGGGGGGCGCGCGGGGCTGGGGGTGCCGACCATCGAGGGGCGGAACTTTTACAGGCAACCAGTCCTCGAGAGATTCCTCACTCAGCACCGCAGTTGCCAGGTTGCACCGCTGGATTGGCATCGCTCGCGCCCTTTCCCAAACGAAAAAACACAGAGAGTGCATCCTGGGAATGCGCATCTTGCGCGTGCACGACTCATCCAGCGTTGCCTGGCACTCGGGCATGCCGACCAGAGGAGACCCCCACCACCGCGAGCCCTGGGCCCAGGGGGGATTGCAACACAGGCGTCAGGAAAGCTCCATCACGCGCGCACGCCCGGCGAAGTGGAGAGCCTCACAGGGGGGGGCAGTACGGTTGCGGTCAACTACGACGGCACCAGCGCATTCGCGGCCACCCCACGTGCCCTCCTGAAAGCACTAACCTGCAAGCACGCAAACGAGCACGACCAGCGGTTTGCCATGGCGGCGATTGCTCACCCCTCATTCACCCTGGAAGCTTCCGACAGCACGGCGGCGGCATAAAGCGCGAGCGGGACCCGCGTGGGCTTCGCGCTCCGCAGAGGGCAACTTGACGACGCCTCCAACCCGCATGTCAAACAGCGGCGGGAACAGGAGCGAACAGACCCCAACAAGCAACGGCACGATACCATCAACTCGCCCACAGGCCACCGCCGCGACCTGGGCCCGAACACTTCATGGGCAACATACCCGCGCACCAAATTTGTCCACTCGACGCGCGCCAAGACATTGAGAGGCTGCTGGAAGACGCAGCGGCGCGTCTCTCCAGCATGCTGGCAAAGGGAGGGCGGGGGCTCAACAGCGGGGGGGCGGGGGGGGGGGGAACAAAAAAAAAAAAAACAAAAAAAAAAAAAAAAAAAAAAACAAAAAAAAAAAAAAAAAAAAAAAAAAAAAAAAAAAAAAAAAAAAAAAAAAAAAAAAAAAAAAAAAAAAAAAAAAAAAAAAAAAAAAAAAAAAAAAAAAAAAAAAACGCCGAGCCAACATAGCAGGCCTTGGCATCTACGCCGCAACAAGGGCGCTGCGCAGAAGCAAAACCATGCAGGGCACAGCACTGGGAGAGATGCGTGAACCGGGCCCCCACCTCCCAGCAGGCCAAGGCATGTCGGGGGAGATCGCGAGGGGGGTGGCAGCGGGGCGAGCGGCATGGAGACAGCGCGGCACATTCTGCCCCCCCGACGCACCCAGACACACGGAGCGTCTCATGTCTATGGCGTTTGCGACGGGAGCGGCGCTCAGCGGACTCACCCCCCTGCACTTGCGACGGCCCAGACGGATTATTTGGGCGGCGCGCTACCGAAGTATATGCGCACGATGACAAGGGGGGCCACGCCTTCGGAGAGGAGTGATTGGATAGCCAGGTGCATCACGAATGCAGAAGCATTTCGCCACTGGAGGCTGCAAAGAACGACCGCCGCGCTGCGCGGCAGACGTCTCAGATGGCGCCAGAGCTGGGCGCGACGTGGGAGAGAGCACGGATCGGCCATTGCAGCATTATTCGGCACATCCGCCCTGGGCGAGATGAGAGGAGCAAGCGGGCTCAAGGAAAGCGGACTCAAGGACGACAGGCGGACTCACTCGGACCCGACACCTCGGGCCAAACAGCACCTCGAATACCGACAGGCTCTTCCAGCAGTAGATGGGGGGGGCGGGGGGGGGGGGGGGGGGGGGGGCGAACGACGCTCCGACGTAGCGCTCCTGCGATAGGGGGCTCCGGAGCACTCCAAGTGGACCCAAGCAGACCCACCGTTCATCTACAGATACGAAAGAAATTGGGGCGCACTAGCGAAGCGGGGGGAGGCGGGAGGGGGGCGGAGGAGAAGCTGTTTACGCCTCGCTGGTGCGATCGCGCGACGATGGGCAGTGAAATCCCAGGCGCCGCTTGCAACCAACGGCCCCCCGCCTACGCGGCGCTGGCTGGGCGTCGCCGAGAGACGACCACCGCGAGACCGTTGGCGGCGTCCGTAATGGTCACAGACCAGTACCAGCGGTGCCACAGTCCGTCCGCCAACAGGAAGAAGCGGTAGACCATGCGACCAGAGCGGCGCATTACCGTGGCATCTGCCACCGGGGCCGCTCCAAATGGCCCCGCGAGGTACAGGAACCGCAGGCATTGGAATGCAGCACATTGAATCATCGGGCTCGAACCCGTGGAGAACATTGCGAACGCATACGAGGGCACCTAGCGGTGCCCAGGCAGATTCGAGGGCCCAGAGGAGCAGCGGCCCACAGCCTCAAGAGACACAGGGGTGGCCGACCAGCAAGGCCGGAGGGCGCTCGGCCGGGGCCAGGAGGGGCGCTGTTGGAGCCGGCGGCGCAGGGGCCGGGGGGGAGAAGACGGCCCACTCGGGGCAGGGCAAGGGCGGGAACCAGGCAGCCCATGCAGGTGGACCCCCAGGTGGGGAGGAGGAGGAGGAGGAGGAGGAAGAGGAGGAGGAGGAGGAGGAGGAGGAGGAGGAGCTCGCCCACGCGCCGCGGCGGAGCAACGGGCGAGACCAAGGCCCCCCCGAAGCTGGCGCCCCAGAACAGCGCGGCCATCAGGGGCCCGCACAACGGCGCGGGCGAATTCTGGATGCTCGGCTTCGCCAGCGAAGCGGTGCAGAGCTCCGCGGGGACGGGGCGAGAATGCAGCCGCAAGGCCGAGGGGCTCGGCAAAGGCTACAAGTCAGGGCGACCGCGCGGACGCGCAGCCGCCAGCTCCGTGGACGGTCTGGCTACGGAGATGACGAACGACGCGGACCTGCCAGAGACGACGCACCCCGCCCTCGCGACGCTCATGGAGTTATGGAGACGTTCGGCAGGCAGCGGGGCATCAAGGTGACAACGGAGATACTCAAGGAGCGCAAGGTGCAGGCGACGCACCAGCGCGACGCGGCGATGGACGACCGCGAGCGCCGGGCCAAAGTGACATTCGCGGCAAACACCAGCCCCTGCATCAGAGCGGCCCTCTTCAAGGGCAACATCGAGGAAATGCGGCAGTGTTCAAGCAGGCGTTCAACGCTGCGATCACGCGCCAGAGGGAGGGGGGGGGTCGAGAGCCGCTGGGGGGGGGGGGGGGGGCGGGCCTCGAGAGGGCGACGAAGCGAAAGCTCAATCGACGCCGTTGGAAGCAGCGCGAGCCAGCTTAACTGGGGCCGCCGAAAGCCCTACCCCCCATCCTATACGCAGCCCGCCAGAGCACGCAGCTGCTGCAGGCCCCGCGCCCACGAGCAGGCCAGACTCCACACGTCGGCCTCCCGCTGCGCCACCGCACGCGAGCGAGGAAAAATAGGCACGTCCACTATCCAGGGCCACGTGCGATCCCAGGCACTACGAAACAACTCGCAAATTCACTGGGGACACATGGCGACTGCACAACGCATTGCGACGCACAACAGAGAACTACGCACAAGGGATTACTATCAGGTGATGCATGCAGTAGAAGGGGAGAGGTGGGAGACACTTACGCGCCCCCGAGCCCCCCCCCCCCAAAAAAAAAAAAAAAACCACCCCATCCCGCCCCCGCCCGCCCCCACGCACACCCCGCCCCGCCCCCGCCCCCCCACGCCCCCGCCCCCCCACCACCATTAAATGCGACGCCCCCCCCCATCCGCCGCTCTCTCCCGTTCGAGGCGACCATTTGCCGACATGCAGGGCGCCCCACGCTACCCAGACACCGCAAGCGCACAAAAACAGAGACAGCTAGCCTCGCTGTCGCACACGGACAGACACATTAGGCACAGCGTGCAAGACAGGTTTGCAAGAGGAGCCGCTACCACTAGACTACCCAAGTACTAAGGTAGGGATTTGGCTCTGAGGTTTTTCTGCGCAGCACGCCACTACCGACATCGCGGAAAGCAGTTGCAGGACGCAGCCTGCGAGGTTGGAGGGGGGAGGGGGGGAGAATGACGACTGGTCGAGCGACGACCTCGATCGGATATTTGCTTGCACTGCGGACCTGAACCGCGCCTGCTTCCAATCGCGCGCCCTGTGAGCCCGACCCAATTTGCGAGCCAGACGATCATCCGCCTCCACAGCCGTGTCATCGACTCTATGCGGAAATAGATGCAGCTCTTCTGGGCGAGTATGTCGACCATCGAGAGGGCGTTGTTCTTCCAAGTCACAGAAGGCGTTCGGATCAGAGGCCCTTGGGAGATCACTTAAGAAGACCTTGCGACCGGGGGGCAGAAAAGGCAGCTAGACGAGACAGCGAGGGGGCAGACTAGGAAATCGCCTGCGACGGATCACTGACCGAGCAAGCAGCTAGGGGCCAGAAACATACAGGAGCCAGCCCGCGTGGAGCCCAGCAAGAGACGACCTCGCCCTGAAACTACGACGAGTTCTACTACTCATTGGGAAGCAGGGCATGGGCTATCGGCTATCGGAACTGGGGCAGCCAGCAAACTAGGGACCGACACAACGACGGGAACAGTGTTGATCCACAAATGTGCGAGAACAACGACTACGGCCCACCTGGTAAGGAGTCAAACAGAGTTGCCCACCCCACTACACAACTACGGAGGCCCCCACCCCAGGGAACCACCCGAGGCCAAGAAGGGGGCCGGAACATCGAGCCCTGCGAGGCACGCGTAGGACAAGAGAGTAGGATAACGAGAACTACAGCAAGGAACCTACCAATTCCCTAAGGAGAACCAGAAGGATATCGAGGGCGCAGGAGAGCCACTGCCCCGACAACCACAACGGCTCCTTTTCTCCGTAGCTGTTTTTGCTGACCCAACCGACGAGCGAGCTTTCGCGCGTCGCTCGACAGCGGCTGCAACCGGCACCCACCCGCGATGGCAGGCGCCTCCCCGACGGAGCCCGGCAGTCCAGCGGCGTGGTTCGGAGAGGAGGACAACAACAAGGCCGCGCTGATCCAGGATCCATACATGCGCGGGGGGCACTTGGAGCAAGTATTCGGCAGCATGGAGCACAGCCGCAACACGGCGCATGCGAGCCTGCAAGCGACGGCGTTGCTCTGCTTTTCCAAACAGGACAAGACGACGAAGATCCAACCAGCTGCAGTGGCAGGAAGAACGCATCACCAGCAGTTTGGGCCGCATCGCGCATGACCGCTGCCTTAACCCGCAAGAGGAGATGGAGCGGGCGCAGTGCATCGTGATTATGAAGCACCAGCTGGAGAAGGTGAAGGAGACCTTGCAGATGGCGAAGGGCCTCCACGACGCGTGCCTCACGGACACCTCACGTCACATTTGGGGTCCGTTCCCGTGGGGGACGAACTACAGCCGCCGCCAGTATGACCAGCTGGCGGGGGTCTACACCAAATGGTCGAAGGGGCCTCAGGGGCACGGCTACGACGACACGACGACATCGAGGCTCCACAGGCTCCACAGCAAGCTTGTCAACAGGCTGCCCGTCAAGTGGTGGCGATGACCCTCCAGCCGCGGATCCCTTGCACAGCGCTGTCCAAGTCGCTCCAGGGATGAAGGACGCACTACATGACGATCACGTTGTCTGAGATGAGGACGGCAGCGAACATGCCAGGCGCCAAGAGCAGCAGTGACGGCCGCCTCACGGACCCAGAGATCGCGGCCAAGGCTGGGTAGGAGGCTCGGACTCGGTCTGATGGGGTGAGGAAGTGAGCGGCGGACGGCCGCCAATATTTTCCACATGCCGTGGCAAACGCAGCCACTACAATAGCGCGCGCAGGAGCAGCATCCTTTGCGGCAGCGTCAGCCAGCCGACTTGCTGCCAGCGAGCAGCCATCCATACGACGCAGAGGCCACCAATCTTTTCTTGTTGTGCCACGCAGATCTCCTTGGTTGCGAGAGAGGTGCGGTGGGGGGACGGTGAGTGAGGAGGGTAGGGGAGGTCTTCAGAGTCGGCGACTCGCCAGCGCAAGCAGCCGTCGGCTCCCACCTTCGATCTCGCACGAAGGGGTGCGCAGGGCTCCCTGCAGTGGGGCAGCTCTCTGGCACTGCCCGCAACACCCGCTGCAGCAGAGCGGGGGCCCGCCCCGAGCGGCCCCCAGGGCCGCTAACATGAGGCCAAGGGGGCAGCTTCCACATATTTCCCCGGGCGCCCGCTCAGGTTTTCATGCTTGAAGCAGCATGGACCCCAGCAGCAGCAGGTGTGAGTGGCGCACCTGTGAGCACCTTCTTCGGTGGAGCTCCCTGCGGGGCCACGAAACGCGCGAGGGGTGTACCGACATTGGCGGGGGGGGGCCAGGCCTCATTTCGATTCTTCCGATTCGAGTCGATTTCGATGGCCCCCGATGTTGATTCGAATTCGATTTGGGATTAAGACTTGCGCCCCGATTTCTTATTGGACGCACACTGGCCCTCCAGTTTCTGCCGATTCGACTTATCCCGACTCGGCTGCCGATCACCGAAGATTGGATTCATGTCGGGCGCCGGTCCGAGCTATCGATTCGATTATGGGTTCTCCTGGGGGAAGCATGCGAACACCGCCGTTGGGGCCTCCAGTGGAGTTCCGTATGGGGCCACGGAACGCGTGAGGGGTGTGTCGAAATTGGTGGGGGTGGGGGCGCACGCGAACACCGCCATTGGGGCCTTTGGTGGAGCCCCCATATTGGGCCACGGAACGTGTGAGCGGTGTGCCGAAATCTGTGCGGTGAGCTCGCTATGGGGCCACGAAGTGCATGAGGAACGTGCCGAAGCGGGATCGGGGGGGGCATGCGACAGACGCCACTGGGGCCTTCGGTGCAGCTCCCTACGGGGCTGCGAAGCGTGTGAGGGGTGTGCCGGAATTGGTGGAGGGGAGGAGGGGCGCATGCGAGAGACGTCGCAGGGGCCTTCGGTGCAGCTCCTTCTGGGGCTACCAAGCGTGTGTACCGAAATGGGCATGCGGAGGGCAGGAGCAGGGACGGGAGGAGGGAGGGGGGGGCAGCGGGTGGGAGACGCGGGGCGCTGACTTTCCAAGACGAGGACCCAACACCACAGAACGGTTGGGAGAAGTGCGAATTCTGCATGTGTACATTGTTGCCAAATGCGCGGCAGGAATCAGACGGGGCGCACACCTTGGGCGAAAGAGCGAAATGTCGCTCTCGCCTCGGCGCCGCGTTGATGTTGCCAGAGAGTTGGATTCCCGTTGTGGCGTGGCGGGTACTTGTCGTTCCTTGACGCGCGAGCGAATGAAGATATCGACGTCGCTTCGGCGCCGCGCAGGTTCCCGTAAGAGTGTCGCTCCCGCTCTTGCGCGGCGCATATGGATGATTCGCCAATGTTTCGGGCCCCGGCAAGCTCCGTGCGCAGTTCGCTCGGAAGCGGCGCTCCCGCGCGGGCGGTGCGCATGGCTCGTTCGCCGAATCGCACGAAAGCGGCAGCGGCAGCGGGGCCGCGCGAGAGCGTGCGAAATGCTGGCCTCGCCCGGGCGGCGCGCAGCTTGTGCGTGAAAGTGGCAGTGCCGTGTCGGCGCGGCGCACGCTCCGTCTTCGCCGCGCTCGTCGGAAGTATTGCCGTTCCCGCCCTTGCGCGGCCCGCACAGCTTTCCGTCGCCGTCGGAAGCGGGACCGCGCGGCAGCGGGCAGCAGGAGCAGCGGCAGGGGGAGGGGGAGGGGGGAGCGGGCCCGGGGCCACAGGAGGAAAGGGGGGGGCACAGAGACCAGCAGGGAGGAGGACGAGGAGGAGGAGGAGGAGGAGGAGGAGGAGGAGGAGGAGGAAAGGGAGGAGGAGGAGGAGGAGGAGGAGGAGGAGGGGGAGGAGGAGGAGGAGGAGGGGGAGGCGGAGGAGGAGGAGGAGGAGGTGGAGGGGGAGGAGGAGGGAGGGAGGAGGAGGAGGAGGAGGGTGGAGGAGGAGGGGGAGGAGGATTGCGCTGGAACGTATCCCAATCCCAAGATCAGTGTGTGTGTGTGTGTGCCACTCTTGATTGTTATGTTGCGGGAGGGAGGGTGGGAATGGGCGGGCCCCTCTGCTTCACTTGATTGGCATGGTTAACCTGGCTCTTCCTCGTGCTCTCACTCCTCGTGCTCCTCTTGCTTATCCTCATGTTGCTTCCTCCGTCCCCTCCTTCTTTAACATACTTGTTCTACAACTCATGGTCCCCCCTCTCCTCCTACCCCTCATCCTCGCTCCTCTGCTCCCTCCTCCTCATTCTCCTCTCTCGCCTCCTCTTCCTTGTCCTCCTCCCCCTCTTCCTCCTTTTCCTTTTTGTTTCCGATCCTCCTCCTCCTCCTTCTCCTTCTCCTCCCCCATTCGTTCTCCTTATAGATATCTCCCCCTCGTTTGACCACCCGACGTGTCGGTAGGGTGGGAGCGGGCGCCCCGCCTTCGAAGTCTTCGCAGCGTGTGATCACGAAGCTACAGAAGTCCCTAGCAGCTGCAAGAGCGGAGGGCGGAGCGTTTGCCAACCTGAGCTCTCGCCCTCGCTCAAAAGAGGAGGCTGTACCAATACCGCTGCCCTTCGCCCAGAACAAAAAGCACCAAATCGCTGCCCCCTCGCCTGTTTTCGCCTTTCTCGGCCTCCTGGGAGGCTCTCGTCGCCACCGCTCGAAGTGCCTTGCAATTCTGGTGAGAACGTGCCCCGGGGGAGGTCCCGGAAGTAGCGGCATCTGTACCCATTAGTCTCCCCATTAGCGTCGCACACATTCGTCTTAACAGTCTGCGACAGCTGCAAGGATGGAGTGTTCAGGGCTGCGCACATGCTGCGCAAACGCTTGCAACAGTTACCAGGATGGATGCCCTTTGAAAATAGAACTCTCGCCTCTGCGCCGCGCACCGTCGTGTTGAAAGCCTGCAACAGCCACAAGGCTGGAGGGCGGCTCCTTTTCAATAGTGAGTTCTCGCCTCAGCGCCGCGCGCATTCGTTTGAAGAGCTCGCGCAGTTGCATGTACAGTCGGGGTCCTGAAGAAGGAACCCTTTCGGTTGGGGAGGGGCTCCGCGTTCCTTAAGTGTTTCACAGTTTGCCTCAGGTTTTCCTGAGGTTTTCCATGGGAAATCGAGGTTGAACTTATGGGAAAAAGGGGCCTCGTTCCTTATTTAGGGTTCCTTGGGTCAACGCCCCAACTGTACGGACGGCGGCTGCTCTTTTAAGAAACATGGGGATCGAACTTGAGTGCTTCTGGAATTGAAGGACGAGAAGCTGAACCGCGTGTACGAGCTGCACGGATGGAGGGCGGCTCCGCTTCAAGGCGGGGTTCCCGCTCAGGGGGGGGTCTGGCTGGACACCTCGCTGATCCGAGTTGATCAAAACTTCCCGCGAGGACGCGACGTACAGTCGGGGCCCTGAAGAAGGAACCCTTTTCGTTGGGGAGGGGCTCCGTGTTCCGTAAGTGTTTCGCAGCTTGCCTTGGATTTTCTTTAGGTTTTCGATACGAAATCGAAGTTCAACTTATGGAAAATAGGGGCCTCGTTCCTTATTTAGGGTTCCTTAGGTCAACGCCTCGACTGTACAGCTCTTGCTTCAAAGAGGGGGCCTCCGCGTGGGTGGCAGGCCCATAGAGTGTGCTGGCCTTTCACAAGGGGGAGCTCCCCGCAGCGAGAAGGAAGGCTGGCTTTAACTCGGACGTGTCCCTCCACAGGAGGGATCTTCAAAAATAGTCAAAACAGGCAGTTTTGGGAGGATGCGTTCATTCTTGTTGGCCTATGTTTGCATATGGCTGACGACTATTATGTGTCTTCCAAAACTCGCCTGTAGGAGGACATGCCCGACCTAAGGCTGGTTCGGATTTACGAGTGGTTGAGATTCAGCATCGCTGACGCATCATTGGTCGACTGCCGCCCTCCCGTCTTGGGGGGTTCGGGTCCGCTATGGCACCCGCCGGCTGGTATAGAACGCTCAGCGACACGGGGAGCCGTGGGAGGGAGCGGTAATGGATGTGAGATGCGGCGCCAGCACAACTAGCTTGTCCTTTCCCTTTGCTCCTCCTCATCCGCCTCCCCTTCCTCCTCTTCCTCCTCCTTCTCTCTCACCTCCTCGTCCTCCTCGTCCTCCTCCCCCTTCTCCTCCTCCTCCTCCTCCTCCTCCTCCTCCTCCTTCCTCTCCTCCTCCTCCTCCTCCTCCTCCTCCTTTTCCTCCTCCTCCCCATGCCCCCCCACCCACCCCACCCCACCCCCCACACCCTTTTCCTCCTCAGCGTCCTGCTCCCCCTCCTCCTCCCTCCTCCTCCTCCTCCTCCTCCTTCCGTCCCCTGTCTAACTATATTGCCTCCTCCTCCTCCCCCTTGTCCTCTCCCTCCCCCTCCTCTTTCTCCCCCGTGTCCCCCCCCCCTCTTCCCAGAAGGCCTCCGCTCTAGCTGCTCCCCCGCCCCCCGTTGACCCCCCAGAGGCCCCGCGCCCCCCCCCCCGTCCTCGCCCAGGGGTGCGGAGCTGCGGCCCCGGGCGCCGCTGCTCCCTCGTGCCACACGGGTCGCTGGCGGAGGGGTCGGCGAGGCTCGGCGAGGCGTCCGGGGGTCGGTAGGGGAAGGAAGAATGACATAAACATACAGTCGGACCGAGGATTAAGGTCTAGGTCGGTTCGGGGAGGGTAACCTAATGTTCTTCGTGTGTGTTGGATGTTCTGGTGTATCCTGGGGGAGGGTACCCTCGAGTGATCTCACGGTTTGGGGTGTTTTGGCCGGCGGAGGGTCTCGTGTTCTTGAAGGGTGTTCTTCTGTCCTAGGTCCGACCGTAACAACTTGGAGGTCCGCGCGGATGTCTCGGATCGGCGTCGGACCCCCTGGCGGCGCCTCCGGCGCCGCCCCTGGCGCGCTCCGCGCGCCAGGGAGGGGGGTCCAGCGCCGATCCAAGAAGTCCGCGCGGATCTCAGAGTTGCTATGGTTATGCCATTGTTCGCTCCCCTAGATGGGGGGGGGGGGCAGAGCTGCGAGGTTTCCGCGCGTGTCCGTCGGTTCTCGGCGGTCTCTTCCGGCCTCGGGGCGCGTGCCAGCGGCGGCGCCCTCGCCGAGAGCGCTCTTGGGGGGGGGGGGGCGGCCGATCGTCCTGAAGGGCCGCTTGAGACCCACAGCTATGTCCCGAAGACCTCACTCGTGCCCTTTTCTGACTGTGCACCAGGCGCCCGCCGCAGAGGGGGGGCCCGGGCCTCGCGGGTGGGCGCTCCGGTGGCTCCAGCGAAGGCCGGGACCTGGGACAGCTGGCGGGGTCAGGACCACACGGGCCGCCCCTCGAGAGCTCTACGAGGTATTGCCTTTCTGACTGGCAGTTCCTCACTTCGAGTGCTCTTCGCGCCGCACGGGGAAGTTCTCCGAGTCGCTTCCAGCTGCTTCGCACTGGGCGCTAGCGGTAAGCCGTCAACCTTGACGACCGCCAGGAAGCTTGCAGAGTCTCTGTCTCTCTCTGTCTCTCTCTCTCTCTCTCTCTAGCGACGCGAGCAGTGTGGTTGGCATCATGCAGCTCGAGACCTGATCGACCGTCGGCGGCGAGCGAGGTGGGGAAGTGAGAACAGAAGGCTCGGAAGTCCCCCGGCCTTCTGAGAAGCTTCCTGAGCCTGCCCCGAGGACGGAGAGAACTCCTCAGAAGGCGCGAGGGCTTCTAAAAAGTCTCCCGCCGCCTTCTGAGAGGGGGCCTTCTCTCCCTCTCACTTCCCCCTCTCGCTCGCCGCCGAGGCCCGCAGGGCCATGCCTCCTCGGCGGAGAGTCGGCGACAGAGAGGAGGAGGAGGTGGAGGAGGAGGAGGAGGAAGAGGAGGAGAAGGGAGGAGGAGGAGGAGGAGGAGGAGGAGGAGGAGGAGGAGGAGGAGGAGGAGGAGGAGAAGAAGGGCAGAGGGAGTCGAAGAACCGCGGGGGGCGGCTGCCGCTCCCAGGCCGCGGCAGCCGGCGGAAGTAACGACAGAAGCTGTGGCCGCGGGAGGTGGCAGCTTGCGTTGGGGTCCTGGGTCTCTGGAGCCCGCCACGCGTGGCATTGCCACCAGAGGCGGGCAGTTCGGCGTCATGCCCCGGATCGGAAGCTGGAGCATGTACGTTACACATTACCAGTGGCGGGTGGTGTTCCAATCCCAGGACGTTTTGAGGGTCGGGGACGACGTCGGCGTGGTGTGGTGTATACTTGGTTCCCCGTCTTCCCGAGGAGGCAACGAAGAGTGCATACACCAGGAGCCCGTACACATCAGGATCCGCTTTCCCGGGTGAATTCCGGTGCGGGGGGGGAGACATCGTCGCTGCATAGCCTTCGGTTCCTGAAAATCGCCGGTGCATCAGCGATGCATCGCCGATGCATCGGCGATGGGGCGCAATCCTCCGACCCCATCTGCCCCGACACCATCCAGGAAGCCTCGAAGTCAGGCGTCATCCCCCTGAGAGTTCTGTGAATCATAAGCGTTCGCCCGTGGCGGAGATCAGGGCTTGTTGGCTTCGAGTCGCTTCTAATTACTAGGCTTGGCATTGCCTGCCTCCTCCTAGCCATATCAGGGTCTCTAGAGCCCGCAGCCTGGCCTTGCCACCGGAGGCGGGTAGCACTGGAGGCAGCCAGAGCCCTGTCGACGTTCGCGGCGCGCGGCCGCGACCGCGTAGAGCTCTCGGCCGCAGGCACGTCCGTGTGAGTCTGTGTGTGGGGGGTCTCGCTCCCTGTGTGGAGCTGCTTGCAGCGTCAAAATGTGAGCGGCGCCGCCGCGGAGTCCCAATCTGGAAAGAGTAAGGGAGCCCACCTCGAGAAAAAGGGTCCGCCTTCCCATCTGCGGAACGATCGGAGTGTCCAAGATTCGGGATGGTGGCGTGCCGGGAGGTCCACAGCCACAACCGCAGTACGGAAGCCATCCAGTCTTGCCGCGTACCTGTCGGCAGCTCCCATGCCGAGGTATGGGGACCATGAATTTGTTCTGCGTAATCTTAAGTCGGGCGTGTCTTCATACTGGCGGATTTCAGGCGTGTCCTCATACTCGCGGATTTTGGTAGAAAAATAAAATTACCAAAACAAATAATCACAAAGTGCGCAACAAATATTCAAAATTCGTCCCCATATGATTTGTTTCACCATTTTTGGATCCTCCTCCTGTAGAGGGACACGCCCGACCGGAGCGTAATCGATGGAGCTGTCAGCGCAAGGAAGTCTCAAGGCGACACGCCCAGGTCGCCCTGCCGGCACGCCGGCACGACTGGCGAGGCGGCGAGGGAGAGGCAGCCGGAAGGCAGGCGTACGGATGCCGGGGAGAATCACCGAGCGCGTTCCACTGCTCGCAAAGTGCCTGCTCGCAAACGCCCTTGGCATCGCTCGGACGTGTGCACTGTTCCTTCGGCGAGGACCATCCAGGAGCATCCTTGATCACTTGGCGAAAAAGCCACGCACGACACCGACAAAAACACAGGGAATGGACGTCCGTTCGATGGCGAGCGTCCTGAAAGAACATTATCCCTTCATGTATTGTATAGTACAACCCCCGCGGCGGATTCAGGCCGTCTGCGAGTGTCTACCTTGCGAGTAGTGGGACGCGCTTGTCCAGAGAAGGAGGAGCAGCACAGACAAAACACTGTAAGAATAGGTGTGAGGATGCGGACCGGGTCTCGCAGAGACGGCGCCAGGCCTACCTGGCCTTCGACGATGCCTTGCCCCTCCGTGTGGACGAGGAGGCCGGATGTCGAAA